ATTAGATATGTGGGTAGGTAATTATGGAGGGGTTTTGGTAAAACTTACAAATGAGTTTGGAGTTATTTGGTGGAGGATGAAGTGCCATTTTGAGGAGTGAAGGACGAAAAAGAAGATTTGAAGTTAATCTCATGTAGTATATGAGAAAATTGGTATATTTTGGGAGTGGAAATGGAAGTGGAAGTGGAAATGGGAATGGAAATGATGAGATGTTCATAGAAATTAATATTATCGTCGTCTCATGCTTGACTCTAATGATGGGGACGGGTCATCTTCGGTTTAAAGCGGCTTCTCGAGTCTCGAGCTTTCCATCACCACCACCACCTAGATTACCTACCTAGTCACGTGTTAGTATATTCATCTCACAAAAGCAATTCAGTACGCTAGGACTTACGAATACGAAGGGTAATATTCATCACGAATACAACTTCAAAAATCTCTATTCATTCCCAAGTCACCATTGACGACGTTCTTTTTATTCTTCGCTATCCAACTCCTTATTCTTTAAATCGAGAGTAATACCTCCGGCGCGGTAACAATATTTCTTCCCTCCATGGTCAAGTCTTTTGCACAGTCTTTTGCAGATCTCCAAGAAAGCAGCTTTATCGGCTATGATTTCCTTTCAATAGGTACTTGGGAGGCAATCACTTCAAAGCGTCATCGACCATAAATTCGGCTGATGTTATGGCATTTATTAAATAAATGGGATTTGATAAAACCAGATTTGAATTCCCTGTGCTGATCATCTACAAGGGGTAATTTCATCTCATCATAAATTTATAACATCGGACAAAATTCGAAGTTCGGAATTCGCCAGATCAATCTACTCGAGTACTTTCAATGAAATTTATACTTGCTAGAGACTGGCTCACTGGCTCTGGACTGGCTTGTATTGAGAACTCATAACAATTCATACACAGAAATTTTGATCCGAGTACGTATCAATAGAGAGAAATGTCAGATCCGAAAACGAGAATCGATATGTCACCAATTAGCGCGATATGATACGAAAATATCTAGTAGTATCTCGATGAGGGATCTAGCTTTATGATTTATTTGATAGATGAAGGTATTTTTGATAGATGAAGGTGTTTTGATAGATGAAGTGCTTTGATAGATGAAGGTGCTTTGATAGATAAAGGAAACTAATTCGACACTATCTATCACACTGCCGTTAGGTCCAAAATAGAATGAAGATTCTGGGGTTAATTATTAATCGAGACAGTGGAATATTGCAACCCACGGGCATAACGGAAGCACTTGAGTCTTAAATACACTCTCATAGAATCACTAATAAAAGTTTATCAGAGCTCGAGTAGCTAAACTCGAGATGAAATAATACGGGTAGCTATGACGTTAATATCAAATCGCGAATTCTAACTTTCTTAGCTTTCTTCGCCGAATGGAGTATGATAGCTTTCCCGATACTCACACAACTTGAGGCGAATCTCTCCATCTATGTCCCTCCATTTTTTGATATGGAATTTTGGATCGACTGAATCTCTTTGCTAATATTTTATATAGACGGAACATTTACTCCTCGAAAGGCTTTATTGACCGTTCCTGGTTCCTGGTGCAACCAGTCAATTGCCCCCTTGACTGTCAAGGGCGGAGTAAAGTTCCTTCATCAATCAATCAATCATCAATCAATCAATCGAATCATTCTTACACAATCTTTAATCCCGATACATTCCACATTTCAAGGTCTCTTCCCATAACCAAGATTTAAATACCGATACCGATATAGCTTCCCACCGGTTGCGTACTATCGCATGTACCAAACCGCTTTCTCCAGCTTTTCCCCATTTAATATGTTGACGTAAAGGATGACATTGAGGATTTGATATTATTTTCCACGATTTATGAAAACTGCTTTTCTTGGAACCAATCAATAATTATAATTTTGATACGCTAAGGGTATATTTATTATTTTTCATTACTTCATAGTTCCACGAGAGCTTTCTATGACAAGCGTCATGAAGCTCCTTAGCTTTCCCGTGGCAATCGAATTTCTATATCAATCACTTATCTTCATTCAATTTTTCTTTAATTCAATCAACAATTTCTTGCCATTTACTTGTTCATTTACATTGAACTTTTAAAAATGTTTTATCAGGCAAGCATCACCGCTAGCTTCATTGTAGCGGTCGCGGCTATTCCAGCTTCTATCAGTCAAATCAATGATGGTCAAATCCAAGCTGCCACAGGTTCTCCAGCAGCTTCCGGTTCTGCCTCACCATTCGGTATCTATTCCTACAATCAACAACCATCTGTAAATAGCGAAGCAGTTTCATCAGTCGCTTCAATTGCAGGAATTCCAGCATCAGAAATTCCAGGTGCTACTGCTCCAGTCCCACCAGTTATCAGTCCTGAAGTTACAGGTGTTACAAGTCATGGTCCATACAGTGGTACACCTACCACCACTGGAGCTTTAAGTACCATCGCATTAGCCAGTGAGGTACCAATCTTGCCAGCTAGGAAAGCAGAAACGACATATGTACCTGATGGTACACTTCACGAACCACAACCAGTTCCATACCAACCAGCTGGTGGTCTTGGAACTAATGGCACTGAGCCAGTTTATCGTGTTCAATCTGATTTTGATTACCAATCAATTCTTTTGGGTCTCTACCAAGAGTGGATTGAACTCGATCTCTTCCATAACATTCTTGCTACGTTTTCCGAAGAAGAATTTACGGCTGCTGGTCTCACACCAAGCGATAGATTCCTCATTGAATTTATGGCAGATCAAGAATCAGGTCATGCTACTTTGCTTTCTAATTTACTTGGAGGACCAGGTGGAGCAACACCACAATGCACATATAATTATCCTTTCACTACCGTTACTGAAGCATTTGACTTTACTCAAAAGCTTACTAGATATGGAGAATCTGGAGTGTGGGGTTTCCAAGCTCATCTTGATTCACGTGAAGTTGCACAACTTCTCGATCAATCAATTGCAACTGAAGCTCGTCAACAAATGATCTTTCGTCAATTTGCTGGTCTCTTCCCTATGCCAGTTTGGTTCGAAACCGGTATTCCACAATCATGGGCGTGGACTCTTCTCGCACCATATATTTCTTCATGTCCAGCCAATTCCAAGCGTCTTGTTTGGCAAAACTTCCCACAACTTACCATTCTCAACCAACCAAACATTGCTCGTCGTAATGCTACACAAACTGGTTTCAACGAAACTGCTGGATTTGGTCCTGCGGCACCAAGTGATTCAAAGTTAGCACCAATCGATTCATGTGTTGGTAATAACGTCACTGGATTTGATTGTTCAGCATCTATTTCCCAAAATCGATCTATTCCTCTCTCATACCCAGGACGTGAAGTTTACCTTCAATGGGATAATCCTGGTCAAGCTATTGGACCAAATAATTCCTATGTCACTTCCACTAGTGCAGGTACACCATCATGGGCAATGTGGGTTTCCCAATTGAATGTTACATATTCACCACTCATGAATGTTTCATCAGCAAATGGTGTTAATTATGCTATGACTATTCAACCGGATGTTTCAACATATGAGGGTGATCCAGCTATTAATGGTACTATATTTTTGGCTTTGACGGATACAAATCAAACTTATACTGCTTTTAATTTGTCAAATGTCAACCCACATGTGGCTGCTTTGGCCATGTACCAAGCTGGTTAAATGGATCACCTTGGAAGTTATTGGATTTGGAAAAATTTAATTATTTTTTTGTATGATAGTTATTGCGATTGGTGGGATGGGGTTAATGAATGATGTGGTATGATATGGCGATTATATAATTCTTTTGTACATTAATATACCGATAATGAATAAGTACTGTTGTCTTGAAGATTCTCCATGTTTTCGATGCTTTGTATGTAAATCTTGGAAGTGAATGATTGTATAGATTTCAGTTTAAGGGCTACTGATTGATGATAATCCTCTGGGTGGGGTAATGCGTGTGGTGAATATGCGGGGAAATTAGAGTATGATTTTCCGTGTTGTTACCTAGGTACTCTCGTACTCTATCCCAAATCAAAAATCTCAAGGTTCGTAATATATAAGAGCTACCACTCTTCTCATAACCTGAAGCATACGGAATGAAAATAAAGGAAATGGTGTATGATGGAGAGAACAGTGAGGTAACTAAATGGACTATCATTTTAGTATCATATCATCGTGATAATTTATTTCCATTTTCTACTACAATTCCGAGTGTGATATTTACATCGTATTTTTATCATCTGAATTATCTATACCTTTTACTATCGGTAGTTGGAATTATCGGATCATATACCTTTTTTAGCATCAAGTTAGATTTTATTTTTGTTGTCAATTATTAATACCTTTTCGACCTCTTTGATATTTATTAGACGAGACTAACATCTTGTAGGAAAAGGCCTTCTTGTAATTTTCGAGAATATCTGTTGCATCCTAAGATTTGATTCGATTTTGAATTTGATTTTAAATTTCTCTAAATTCTATTTTCTATTATTATCAGTTTTTTCAAATGATAACCCTCATCATAAAAGAATTTCGTTACCCCTTTTCGACTTCGCTAATTCTTTAATATGAACTATTATTTATTATCAATTCTTAAGCTCGTAATTTCGCTACACTCTCTAATCTTTCTATAATCTATAAAGAATAAATAATTACAGATTAACAAGTATAATATGAATATTACAAAATCAATTTCCACAATCGCCAGACTCATCACTCACGAGCTCATCATATCACAAGAAGAGTTAAATATTTCATCAACTCCGAGAGGCACATGAATTTTTGTATTCAAGATTGGCGCAGTTTGAAACTTATTTTAATACTCTAATAATACACAAAAACACCTCTGCAGTATTCTACTCTAATACTCATTTTACTATTCTACTTGAGAATCGAAGCAGTATTCTAACAACGAGATAAAACAACCCGACCTTTATTTACTACTCTCATAATCCACTTCTTCTTTTTGACAATCAAGACAACAATTAACTATGCGTAAAGAAGTCGATTTTGTGGTTTATTCCAATCGAGACCTCTTGCGTTTTGGCTCAGTACTGAGTTCAAATATAGTCGTGATATTTAGACCATCAGTGACTTCGGGTTCAGCTATAGTATTCAGCCCATTGTAAACTTGAGGAATGACCATAGTATCCTGGTCATTGACTCCAGGTATGACCATAGTATTCAGCCCACTATCGACTCCAGGTATAGCCATAATATTCAACCCACTATTACCTTCAGATACAACCAAAGCATTCATCTCGGCTTCATTCAAGTCAAATCAATATCCAAATCCATCCAATCTACCGGTACTTCATTAATCTGTGGATCAATCTTGTAAATGAAACATAAATTTCCACCTCCCCATGGTCCTTGTCCATCTCCACCACCGGATACGTATATATTCGTATTTACACACAATGCAGCAAGTTGACCTCCTACAGCTGCTCTAACATGCTGATCTCCTGACATATTAGGATCATTATTCATTGAATGAAAAGCAGAATTTATTTGTTCATTGGAAAATTGAACACCACCGGCTCCCCTTTTATTGGATTGATTGTTGCGAAAACTTGTATTAAATTTCCTCCATCATCTTTAATCTTTTTCAAAGCTTCTTGAATTGGATTGACATCAATTGGATGAGTCATGACGGTAGATATTGCTCTGAGATTACCAGTTGTCCTATTATTTGTAGCTATCATTAGTAAACCACAATCTTCCCTCTCGATTGAGGGAACACAATAAGCTTTTTTCGCTCCAAGTTCTCCAGTATCCCATATTAATTTCTGCCCTTATTTTGGGAAGATCTCCTTGAAGTCCATGAGATGGAACCTCATACAGACCATGACAAACTCCGAAAGCACAGGCATAACGAGATCTTCTAGATTCTTCCGAATTGCAGCCTCGAGGACATTTTATAAAAACCATATTACATTGTACGTCATTTTCCGAATCCTCCAAACACCCAGTGAAATCATTTAATTTATTTACCATCGTCGAAACGTACGAACTCACAATGAGAGCATGATCCGATGTACCTAATTCTCCTAGAAGAAAATCTTGAGTTCTTCCAATAACTGCACAAAGACCAGTAGGTTCTTTGGATTTCAAAATTAAAGTAACATGAGTACCCAAGACACCTTCTGTACCTCTAGAAAAAATCTTGAGAGTAGATGGTGTTGTACACATCTCCCAAATTTTAGCATGATGGTGGCAAGTATCACTATCAAATTTGCCCATGCCCTGCACCTTTCCAATGACAACAAGTATATCAGAAGCATCATATTCAAGAGCGGGCAAATTATAGACAGTACATGGAGAGGTACTTGGGAATGTTTTTGACATCAATATGATATACTTCAGGATTGGATCCATTTGATACTTGGTAATCTGGACCAGCTATGGGGTATCCATGTAACCGGGTACCAAATGATCCAGGTTCAAGTAATCGAGGTTCGAGTGATGAGGATGTAGTTAATGAAGATTCGGCAAATGGAAATCTATCTGATGTAGATATTTTTGATGAGGGTTCAACTGATGGAAGTTCGATTGATGAAAGGTCGATAGATGAAAGATCGATAGATGAAAGGTCGATAGATGAAAGGTCGATAGATGAAAGGTCGATAGATGAAAGGTCAATTGACGAAAGGTCAATCGATGGAATTTCAATCGATGGAATTTCAATCGATGGAAGTGGAAGTTCAACTGGTAATGAACCAACTGACAATGGTCCAACCGATAAAGAAGTAGCTGTTGAAGTTCCAATTGATAGAGGGGGTATTGATGAAGAACTGGGTAATGAAACATCAGTCAATTGAAGAGTAACAAATCGACGTCTAGAAAATGCAGAACGAGTAGAAAGAGAAGGGATTGATGAAGATCTCAATAATTCCGACATCTTTGATCTATAATTGTTTTTATCTTACGAATATTGACATTGGATGAAGTGTTTGATTGCGGACACGAATGAGAAGAGTGAGATAAGTGAAAGTGTAAATAAAGACCTTGACGGCGATTCGGTTGTAGGCAGAACGATCAATACAAAATTATCACAACCCATTATCTTTTATCTATTGAATACCATCTTCCAACTACAATTAAAGATAATGAGATTCATTTCTAAATGCGTAAAGATGTATCGAACTTTCGATCCAATCCGAATTGATTGGTAGAATCTGTCGTTAAAAAAAATTGATCTCCTCAATCGTAGCCTGGAAGTGTGTTCGTCCCTTTATGTCTTGTTCAGTTTCCCATTTACGACGGGCCTATTTCCTTGTCGAATAATTACAATATCCTACGATGGAAGACTGGTAATTGAAATTCTACTTCTATGAAAATACAGACAAGACAATACTCACTCATATATTTTAAGCTTGGTTGATAACCCTAATTAGCTTCACTTATACATTCTGAGCGGGGCATATATATCAAAAGTCCATGAGGATAGAAGTATTAAGACCGATTGACATATTCAATTGCCGAAACTACGGTGTATGGTTGAAGAAAAGGGTTACCTTTATATTTATACTTATTCGAACCCCTTTTCAATGGTTCTTACGGTACATCGGAAGTCAGTTATCCCATTTCTACATTGATACATTATCCAAATATCCCATTAAGCTTATAGAAAGTATACACCAATGTAAAAGAGTTATAATAGTTATTTTTTATCTTGGTGATAAAGAACCCATAGATTTACTAGTGTGGAGGATGCCAATAAAGAAAGGCAACGGAGGAGATGATGATGATGATGATGGTAATGATTTCGGCGTAGACTTTACTGAAAAAATTACATTGTAATAAAAACTCAATGTTTCCAATGGATATTCTATATCAGTTAAGATTCTTCATTTATTTTCCTTTACTATTCGTGATATGACTTCGATTTTGAAAAACTCAAACAACTATACGCACTAAAAAATACAAGAACTCCAAGAAGTCATACAAAATTCTAAAACTCACCGCCAACTCCAAGGGTCCAAGAAACCAAACTCTTGGTGTTTTCTAGAACGATTTAATGATCTTAGCATGGAATTTGAACGGCAACTAAGGATTGATAGTCAGGGCAATGGTGTGGCTTTGTTGGCTTGGCTCTCATAGGAGAAAAATAACGACAGGTTTGATCACTGAGATCACTTTGATATCAGTAATTGTACGTGTAATTGAATTCTACAAAAATCCAATCACAAATAAAGTAAATATATTTCATGAAGGCAATAAGATCCCACAATGTCTATTTCTATCATCTTTCGAAATATTATCTTGTATGAATTTGACAAAATTCCAAGGAAATAATTCAATCATTAATATTTTCGCTAATTATCAACTATGGCCTATTTCTCTCGTACATAGACGTCCACGGGTCGTAGAGCTTGGGACCATATATCAAACAAAGTATATGGAATAACCGAATGATACTCCTTCGATGTTAAGACCTCCCTTTGACTAGGTACCTAGGTATAAAATTCATCTGAATGAATTTTCAAAACACATTCGCAAATTGATTTCACACGAGGAGGCAAAAAAGAAAAAGTTTTCACAAAAAACATGACTCGAGTTCTGAAGATCTCACGTGATGTAAATCAATCATCGGTGGGGTGATTCCGAGAATTTCCTCATTCATCAACTTTGAAGCAAAACCCCGAAATGTATATCGTCATTGTCGTCCACTACGGAACTACCACCCACCGGCATAACGGCACCATCGACGTCAAAGGTATCAAAAAGGGGGGGGCCCCGAGAATCCAGATTATACGGAGTACAGTGTACACCCCAAACTGCATACTCCATTTCTCGTGTCCCATGGGTAAAAGTAACCAAAGTTGGGAGAAAATGAGGAGGTCCCATGGGCGACGATGTGGTACATTTGTCGTCGTGGTACCACAAAAAGAAGAAAAGAATTCCATCGAACAACACATTTCGGCCAAATTTCATACATTCCTTGATGATTATTACGTATGTATCCGTATACTATCTGGAGATTTCATACTGGTAACATGTTTATGCGTTACATGATTGATCTTGAGAGATGAGAGTATGGCCGAGAGAATATCCACGAGGTGGAGTTTTGAATGGGTTGTCGTTGAAATAAAACCGAAATATGACCTTTTTGATGTGGGTTTCACCAAACAATTCAAAAAAATCGAAGTTCGCCTTATTTTCTGAATGATATCTGTACTATTCTGGGAAATAGATGAGCGATTCAATCGGTTAGTCCTCGGGAGGTAACCTTACCGATAAGAGAAAAGAATTGTATGGCTAATTGGAAAAACTCAATAACCGGATTCTGCTTCGAAACTCTTCTTCAAACTACTCTATCCTGTTCATCCGCTCGGCTCTAGAAACCAAAACAATATCAAGAAACACGCGATATACGCATGACACGCAGCAGCCCTCTCAAAGGATGTAGTCTTGGATGACGGGCGCCAATTCAAGATCATTATGCCATGCAAATCTAATCTTTTTTTTTTCACTCGCTTGTCGGATCATAGATGCTTGGCTTTACCTTTCTTGACTGCCGCTTCGTTCCCGCCGCAAACTCGTGGAACCTTGTTTTTCTTCTTCAATTTTCATAGGCTTTACTGGTTTTTATGGGTCCAGGAATTAAGCCGTTCCAAGGTGAAGTGAGGATCATGGTATCCGAAAGGACAAGCCTTGAGCCTCAATATCCACTTAATCGACACACCTAGTCCAAAAAGGGACAAGTGAAAACGGCAAATCATCATAATGCTCCGACCTCATATCTGTGTGTTGATATCTCAGACGGCATTTCAAAAGTCATGATATGTGAGGAAATTCTTCATTATGCTTCAACAACAATACGAAACGGATAATCTAGGATCAAAGTGCCACGTAGAAATGAACATGAATCAAACATACGTCAATCAGATTTCACAATTTCACAATATATCCCACAAGAAGGGATTAAACGCTCCTTTCTTTAGTACTCGGTGCTATCGCGGTCGTCACTTTAAGATGGACCCGATTTTCTTCATATTTGGTCGCATTTGATATTCAAACTATTGGCTCTCGGCCATTTTGTCCATCATACCAATCACGGTCTGTAATCGTCTATTTTCCTAAATTCCAAAAAAAACCCCAATGCTGTACAAGCAATACCCTACTCTGTCGTGACTAGTAGTCGTGACCACTGACAATGTTCTGACTAGCGGGACGGGGAGCTATGGCTAATCTTGAACACTTTGACTAGGTCCTCTATTTTCTTCACTCCACCTAATACCGAACATTCTTTTGGTAACATTCTCCATCTTAAAGAAAAATCTTGTAATGTCTCGAGACCTCTTTGACTAGCTTCCCCAATTTGGGGGCTAGAGTCATTTTTCCAATCTCCATCTGGTCCGCATGACAAAATGATGGGAATGTGGGCTAAATCATGGAGGCATCACCTCGGGGCCCCCTAATAAGATATTTTGACGGAGTCGTACTCCACTCACATCTGTTGCCATTTCCGATTGTTTGTTTTTATATAAATCCATCTTCATCCCTATATCCCCCTCTCTCCATTCTCCGCGTCTTTAACTCTTCAACTTCTCATTCTATCTGGGGCTATACGATTGTGCCTTTGAGAAAAAGTTGTTGATCAATACTTTTAACTTCCCTCTACAAAAAGAAGTTGAAAGAATCGCAATCATGGGGTTGTTCAATAAGAAGAAGGAGACTACAGAGTCAGCGGTTATCTCTGACAAAAACCTCAGCAGTGCAGAGGGAACACCAGCCGCACACACACCAGCCGATACTCCTCGTGTCGCTAGATCCTTGAATGGTTCTGCACCAGAACATCATGATATCTCACCTGAAGAAGCACTCGATGACCTTCCAGCTACTAAATTGGCCATTACTCTTGGTGCTATCGCATCTATTGGTGGTTTCATGTTTGGTTATGAATCTGGTCAAATTTCCGGTTTGTTTTCACTCCAATATAGTGTCGAAGTGATAAAATTCTAACAAGTCTCAAGGTTTCGTACAAATGTCCGATTTCTTAGCTCGATTCGGTGAAAATGGTGAACTCTCTGCTGTCCGTCAAGGAACCATTGTCGCTATTCTCTGTGCCGGTACTCTCGTTGGATGTCTTGGATCTTCTTACCTCTGCGATAAAATCGGTCGTCGTTACACCATCTCCAGTTCCGCATTCTTTTATATTATTGGTGTTATTATCGAAATTACTTCCACTACTCACTGGGTTCAATTTGCTATGGGAAGATTCACTGCTGGTTTGGGTATTGGTGCTTTGAGTACTAGTGTTCCTATGTACCAATCTGAGTCTGTGCCTAAGAATATTCGTGGTGCCGTCGTTTCCAGTTATCAATTGTTGATTACTCTCGGTATCTGGACTGCTTATATGGTAAGTCAAATATCTTCAGAAAGAAATGACAACCTACTAACATAAAATAGATCAATTACGGAACTCACTCTACCTATACCAACAGTGCTCAATGGCGTATTCCTAACGGTCTTTCCGCACTCTGGGCCATTACCCTCGGTACCGCTGTCCTCTTCATGCCTGAATCCCCTCGTTTCGCATATCGTATTGGACGTGAAGATGAAGCTCGTAAAAACATGGCTCTCCTTAATGGTGTCGACCCTTACTCCCCACTCATCGATGCCGAAATTCTCGAAATCGAAACTAAGCTCGCAGCCGAGAGAGAAGGTGGTGATCACCCATGGTACGAAATTTTCACTGGACCAAGAATGTTGTACCGTACACTTCTCGGAATGGTTCTTCAAGCTGGTCAACAATTGACTGGTGCCAACTTCTTCTTTTACTACGGTACTACCATTTTCAAGTCTGGTGGTATCTCCGATTCTTATGTTACATCTATCATCCTTGGTTCTGTCAACGTCGTTGCTACCATTGGTGGTCTCTGGATTGTTAAGAATTGTGGTCGTAGAAAGGCTCTTATGGTTGGTGCTGCAGAGATGTTCGTTTGTATGTTGATCTACTCCTTCGTCGGTCACTTCAAGATTCAAGGACAAGCCGATGCTAAAGCTCCTGGTGCCGTTCTCATCTGTTTCACCTGTATCTACATTGTTGGATTCGCTACCACTTGGGGACCATTGGTTTGGGCTATTGTCGGAGAATTATACCCAGCCCGTTACAGAGCTTCCTGTATGGCTCTCGCTACCGCATCCAACTGGCTCTTCAACTTCCTCATCTCTTTCTTCACCACTTTCATCACCAACGATATCGATTATTACTATGGTCTCGTTTTCGCTGGTTCTCTCTTTGCTCTCTTCTGGATTGTATTCTTCTTCGTCATTGAGACCAAGGATCGTTCTTTGGAAGAAATTGATACCATGTACGTTCTTCACGTTAACCCATTGACATCCGCTAGCTGGGACCCCAAGTCACTTGGTGCTGAAGGTGTCAATGGTGTTGATACTGATCGTATGTTCTTGACCAAGGGTGGAAAGGATATTAAGAAGAGTGAAATGGCTGGACGACCAATGCTGGAACATGATGAGAGAATGTTCCCAGAGACTGCTCCTGGAGGAGCTGCTGCTCATGAAAACAAACCTGAGATTATGAACGCTTAATTATTTGCTTAGCTTCATACTAGGAATGATTAAATAGGAGAAGGGTGAATGAGTATATGTCAATCTGATATGAATAAAAGGGGATAAGAGCAGTGGATGATAAATGAGTGGATTTAAGTAATGCATGCATATATTGGCGTTTGGGAAGCAGCATCGTCTGTACGGGTATTATGTATGATAATGTCGTTGAGCGAGATGTATATAGTTAATCATTGGAGGAAATTATGTTTATGAGCATATTAAGGAAATAAATTTCATGAACCTCACTTGATATTATTACTTTATATTGTGCTAGTTTGATCAATTCTTGTATTTGCTTTTATATCTTGAAGATGTATTTTGTATCCAAAGTAGACATCCACATAATCATATTAACATCATCCCAGCTTATATGATAATTGTACAGATTTATGAGATAATTCCACTCAATTACATCCAATTACATCCAATTTCATTCAATCTCATCCAATTCCATCCAATTAAACTTCATTTCCTCATTTCCTCATTTTCTTCATCCTCTTTTCTTCATCCTCATCTTCTCTTCTCAAAAAGTACAATTTCCATCAATCCTCTCCCCACTTACAAACTGCGTCTTTACATCCCCCTCTGCAAATAAAAGCATACTATCCTGCTCACTGTTATAAATAGGCCAAGTTATCTCAGTTGTCGATGGTGCTTTTTGTGGATCATTTGCGAATGAAAGCCATAGTGCTTGCATTGTGTTCGCAACTTCATATTCATACGGAGTGGAATTACCACGGTATAAAAAGTGAGTGTCGAATAGAAGAGGGAGTTCGGCTGAGTTTGTTAGTGGGTGAGAAAATGGAAATGATAAAATGAAATAAAACGGGGAGGAATAACATACAGCTATGGTAAGCACCTATCCAAGGTAGAGGGGAAATGTTGGTAAAGTTACCAGTGTATTGGTAGCGGTATGTTGTTAAGCCTACATTTTCTCGAGCTCTTTATATGGATTATACGTTAGAATTTGTTTGTAGGTAATAACAAAAGCAGTAGTAACTTACCTGACTTCTTGTGCAACAGGACAAGCGATTATACTTTGAGTTGTTGCATACAATACTGCCTCACCAGGACCATCTTCAGAGAAAGATACAAAGCCGGCTCCTTCATTTGAATTGGATCCTATGATTACTGGCTATACAACAAATGTTAATTAGCTTTATTTCCTCAAATTCCACAACTAGACAATAACAAAAGATAAGTCCCTACCAATTTGGCCACAAGTCCTCTCTCAGCTCTATCCGCAGGATTGGAGAATGCGGTAACATTATCTGGAAAAGGTGTAAATGCAAGTTTGGGAGTAGCGCCACTGCTCACATAGGCACTCAAAGCATTTTCAATTGCATTAGCTGAAACATTTCTCATACATCCAATTTCTGCTTCTGGTGCAAGATCTTTACATCCGACCAATCCAGCGAGAGAAGTGAAATTTGTTTGAGGAGTATCGGTACTACCGAGAAGATATGCGGAGCCAGAATCAATGATTAAACCTTTTACTATAGGATCATTGGGGTATGCATAAGCGTAACTATCTACAGATGCACCACCAGCAGATTGACCCCAGAGAGTCATTCGATCAGGATCTCCATTGAATGAGGCAATATTTTCGTGAACCCATTCGACACTGAAAGTTGTTAGTCGCTGAATAATGCACGTGGAATAATGCGAGGAGAGATAAATGACATACGCTTTCCTCTGATCAAGTAAACCAGGGTTTCGATCCTCCGTAATAGCCTTTGCATTTGGAAATCCGAAAACATTAACACGGTAACTTTTGGTTACAGTTAGCATATAAATCGCGAAATGAGGAGTATGAATATCTCACTTCATCACAACCACAATATGGGATTGAGTTTTTTGAACCCATTGATCTGGAATCTTGTATAATGAATCTTGTCCACCACTTGTAAATCCACCTCCGGGTATATAAACAAACACGGGAAGACTCTGATTTGTCGGGGTAGCAGGAGTCCAAATACTTAAATATAAACAATCCTCACTTTGTCCTCCATCAATTAAAAATTGAGGTACAACATTTGTATATATGGTCGAACTATTACTGGAAATTTGCATGCACGAAGGAGGGAGTGTTGTAGCGTTAATTGAGGATCCTTTACTTTTCGTTTGTGGTGCTGCAAATCGCAAGTTTCCGATAGGAGGTTCAGCATATGGTACTCCTAGAAATTGACGAACTTGTGGTGTAGTTTGATTTATGAAGCCATGAAGTTCACCGCTGGTCGTTTGGACTATTAGGCCATTTTTATTGGGAGTGGGAGAACATAGCGTGGGAAGAATTAAGGAGGAATAAGCGAGAAGAAGTGATGGTGAAAACATATTGAATTGTCAAAAGACTCGAAACTTATGAAACGAAACTTCTTCTGACTATTTACAGGTAAAAGCTTCGAACATCTCTCCAATTTATACTCGTAGTGATTCGTAGTGATATTAAAGTATAGATGAATGGGGGTCGCCCGTAAATAAACCGATACTAGACAAATTCTTTCTAATTGATCATCCATGCTGGCGGTATAAACATAGTATCGGATAAGGACATCTCCATTTCATTTAAAAGCTTTGGCAAATACAGGGAATAATGTCATTATATTCTGACAAGATCATCGAGAATGTCACTCCCCCGCATCCCCGCAATGCGGGGCACACTTCTTAATGTCGGTGACCCGGGGTACATATAGTACCCGGTAGAGAACTTTCCCGGGTCTTATTATAGAGTTACATATGTGAGGATTAGAATACGTGGTTGGTTGAAAAGAAATGAGAATGAGAAATGAATTTATATGCGTTGAAGGAATTGTTAGTGATCTCTAATGTTTGGAAGTAGGTCGAGGCCAACGTCTCTAACGAATTAGATTTCGGCCGAAGTGTCAGTCAACACCTCGAAAATCCATAGGTACCTAATGAAAAAATTCTTGGCAACCCTTGGAATACTTAAAGTTACCTAAATACAACTTGATTGTCAAAAGTAATTTAATTTTGAAGTATGAATATGAAAATACATCATTTTGATTATCCAAAATATAATGTCCATCCCAAATAAATAGTCGTCTCATCCGCCTTTCTTCAGTGAAGAGTTGAATGCAATTGTAGTCAAATAATCCTAATGTAATATATTAAATCACAGGGATAGATGAGGAGTTTTACATTTAGGTGGAGAGTAATGGTGTCTTTGATCTCATCCCAAGTCATATTGTTAAACAACGTCTCCAATTTTCCACACTCATGGCTCCCGTCATTCACATAATCAGCACACTTTCCCCTTTAACGACAACGAGTACCTGTCGATAGAAAGCCTGATTCAGGCAGTGATGGTAATCTTTTGGAATCCCTATCCACGTTGATCTGGCTTCTGTGTCCTTGATCTCCCTGCTGGCAATCCAATAATAAGTGTAACAACCATAAAGAAAGTACTGACGAAATGAAACAAAAAATTGGACAACGTAAAAGGTTTGACATCATAAATTTGACGGCAAGTTCGTAGAAGCGAGGTATTTTTATTTGTAAGAATCAAATCCTACATACACAATGTGACCTTCTAAACAGTATTTAAAGATTTTTGTACGAAGCTCCAAAGGTGTTCTAAGGAGACCCTGGTGACCTGGCGTTAGAGTGTAGAGGGAGCCATGAACCTGCATTTTGAAGTGGTCGAGTCGAGTATGGATGTGATTGATGATACAAATGTAACTTGATTGTTGAAATTGAAATTCAACAATTAGAGGACTGATCCAGTGAGTTAAAAGAAAAAGACAATGACCCTTTAGATACCTCGAAAATGATCGATTCAAGGTAGAAATATAACATCAATGATATCAATAAAGTATCCCATTGTACGAGGTCACTCAGCCTTATGTATATTCATGACAGAAGACCCTCAATGCGTTCAAAGTCACTCCGTAATGAAAGAATTCACAGTGTGTTTCAGGAACTACCATCATTCTAATCATAGACAAAACTTTGAAATTCACCAGCCTCAATCGATTTAGCTTGTTAGCATTACCTACCACGAGCCTACCTAGTGGCCACACTGATAGTGTTCAAGACTACTTCAAAATGAGGGCGATCGGCGGAAGGCCTCTAGCTCTATTGTGGGAAATGTGTCAAAAAATACTGAACCCTCAAATCAAACTTCAAAAAGTAGTAAATCAATGTCAATAGTTTGAGACCGTACAAAATATCATCTAGAGCCGTGTCATCTAGAGCCGTGCCATCTAGAGCCGTGGTGGTATTACGATGTGGTAACTGATTGAAATGACATACAAAAACCACATACAAATTTCGCGAATGGTAACGATGATGTCTAAGGTTAATCACGTGATACACTCTTCACATCTATGAAGTTTCACACATGCAAAAAGCCATGTAGGATTATGGCCAAGTCGACAGTACCAAGTAATCAAAAATCCGACCTCCCATCACATATTCTTTATCAAAGTTCAAGCAAAACTGTCACTTTAATTGATATCCCACGATCAATCGAAGATGCTCAATTACTATCCACCGAACAATACACTACGAGTCCAAAGACTGCGAAGAGGTTAATATCTTGTAAACCAATAGATACACCCTATCCATCACTTGAACCCAAATCAGCAAAAGCTCTTAGAAATGTTCCAGAGAAAAGAATCGAGGAATTGATGTTGGAGCGTTATGTTCAACTTGCGCTTGATGAGATGATGGGGGATGAGAGATGGGAAGGGAAAGTTTGCTTAGAGAGGATCTGGGGTGAGAATGGTGAGTTTATTGAATTTTGTCTTTATACTTTTCTGTCTCTATTTATTCATTTTAATTTAGGATGATTGTGGAATTGTATAAATTTTAGATTCGTTTGGAAATTTACTAACATTCTCAAAATTTAGAGGAATCTAAAAGGAAAAGAAAATCAGCTCCAGAAGGAGCAGAGAAATCTCAGCAAAGCGCCATCAAGGTTGAAAATGTCTACAAGCTTCCAAAACGCGTTGAGATAGATGGCGTTTCGGGTATAATGCCACCTAAATCTACAATGATATATGGAAATATACTTGAAAGTAACCTTTCTTCCAATATAGAAATACATGAAGATTTTCCAAAATTTCATATAATAATTGCCGATCCACCTTGGCCTAATCGATCTGCTTTACGAAAAGATTCTTATGATATTGCTTCGGGATTTGGAGGAATAGAGAGTTTGTTAAGATCGTAAGTTTCTGGTTCCTTGTTCTTCTCTCGAAGCTCTCCCTCGGCTTTGACTTTACTCTGATTTTACATTTTACTGTTTGATTACGTTTTCGTATGGGCATTTATATCTTAAATCATAGCTCCAATGTATATTCGAATCTATAAACGACACCTCTCTTATAGTCCCAAGCTAATTCTTCTCACCAAATACAGCCTACCATGTCATCAGGTAGAACATAATGGCTACGTTGGAATATGGATAACTAATAAACCCGCTTTCCGTTCCATGCTCTTGGACGAAGGAGGGTTGTTCGATCATTGGGGTCTTGAATTAATTGAAGAATGGATTTGGCTTAAAGTTACATCAAATGGTGAACCGATGTGTGAGATTTCAGGAACTTGGAGGAAACCATGGGAGATTTTACTTGTGGGACGGAAGAAGGACGAGAGGGAGAGTGTTGGTGTAGGAGACTCCGGATTCAAGAAGTCTGTTGGAAACGAGGAGTTGAATATTGAGAAAGAATATGAACTCGAGGGATCAAATCAAGCTTCATCCTCACCCTCACGGGCCTCGCCAACTCCAACTCCATCTCAATCTGAAAACTCAAACCTCTCCATAAAACGAAGGATTATAATTGGAGTTCCTGATTTACACTCACGAAAACCTAATCTGAGGTTTCTTTTTGGTCAACTACTAGGGTTGCAAGAATATAGGGGGTTGGAAATCTTCGCGAGGAATCTTACGGCTGGGTGGTGGGGGTGGGGAAATGAAGTTTTGAAATTTCAAGATGATGGCGCTTGGGTTGAGGAAGGCTGTAATGATGTTGTTGATGAAATAGTTGATGAGGTATTGAAAGTGAAGGATGAACAGGATAAGGAGGATGAGAAGAGTGACGAGGTGTAAAGGGAGAAGGATATCAATTGTAGAATTTGGAAATATATTCGGGCTGATATTGGCGGGAAACTATGTGAATGATGTTAATTTGTCAAAGTACAAATTGGATGATTTGAGGGGCAGCCGAGAAGGTTATAATCAGCTACAACACCACCAACTACCTAGTAGTTCTTCCAAAATTCTTTAGCATATCAGTCCAATGACTTAACATAGCTGCGAGTGGAAACAATGGAAATTTGTGTGGTTAAAAGAAACCCCTGAACGAAAAGTGCCAAAACTGGGTTGGTGTATAGATTTTTATTCTTCATGTTCATACCCCAATACCCCATTCAATGAATTATTCATACAATGTATCTCGCAATATACATGCTCTTCCAAAGTTTAATGGTTACACTTCCTCAAATCATCATCTATTCCCGTCTTCCAATACGAGGAACCTTCACATCCGTCTCAACCTCAACTTCCTCTCCTACATTCATCCAAGTATCTCTCGTAGGTGCCCATTTCTCTTTTCCTTGCAAAATCTTCCTTGCTTGTTCCGCAATCGATAGACGTTCTTTGCTGGGCTTTTGTTTGGCATCTGGATATTGGCCTGCTTGTAGTTCTTGTTCGTATTCTTGACGTTGCTTGACTCCTTCTTGATCCCAACTATAAGTACCGTATGATTAGCCTTTGTGCTTGTGCATTCCAATTTCCATTATAAGATTATCTTCCAAACATTCATTCCCTCGACTTTCCCCCACTACACCAATCACTCCCCCGCCAAAGATATAGAAATCCTTCGAAATCGAAAATAAAACATACTTGGAGAAGTCCTTAGGTTCTTCAGGCCATACAAATGGTCTATCCATCTCCACCATCATCTTCTTGATACTCCTCGGCCTAAACCATTTCCTAGGTGTTGGTACTTTCGCTCCTGGTTTTCCTTCCCTCAATTTTTGCGCTTGGATATAACTTCGTACTCCTCGAACCTCTATTCCATATGCATTCCATAAATAATCTCTTAAATCTAATTTGTTCAAATTGAGGGGTACGATAAAAGAAGCGAATGAAGGTGGTAGATTTGGTGTGCGGAGAAGAGTTATGGTGAAATTGGGACTGTAGTAAGAAGAGGAGTTAGTTTCCAGATGGTAAGAAGGGGATGGTGAGGGAAAATCTTACAGAAATACTTCTTTGCGACCCATTTTGGGCGCTCGAGCGACGGCTGCGAGTGGTGCTGCCATTGTTGATATGGAATTGATATTTGAAGCTATTTGATTGAAATCACCAGTATCAGATAAAATTAAGCGCGGGAAATACTATCGGGATTCATTTGACGCGATGAGCACAATTACCCGCGAGTATCTTTCTCTTGGGGTTTCCAGTGCGATACTTAGTCATGATTTTGTAAAGACGTGCACGCCCACCACTCATATCTCGACTTGGATCACGGATCCATACTTCCTTGGTAAAGCTTGCCCGGCTTCTAGATTTTTCCACCATCCGACCGATTATTCTCATACATCATCGTCATCCATCCCATCATTACCTATCTACCGGTACTGCCTAGGTATCTCATGGCAAATCACCAATCATATGACTTTCATTGATTTTCACAATTCCTTCCCGCATTAACCACAGTTTTCCGCAATGACTTTCCTATAAAAGCATCCACTGCGAAAAGCGAGCTTCGCAATCCTTTACTCCGATGAGTTTCTTCGGAATTATATCATGGCCATGGAGTTAATACCACGGATATAAGTGAGAACCTCTTCCTTCCCAGTCGTGAAGTGTGAATTTGATAAGCATTTATAACAATGGCCCCGTCGGCTCCACTACCTACCTAGTAATAAACAGTCTAGTGGAGGGGTAGATTTGGTCATTCCAGATCTATGTGTGTCTGCGTAATTTTTATTATAAGTATCGATTGTTGCTGTTGTGTTTTTGATCAATAAACTTGTTGATTTCTTTTACCTTTTTATATCCAAACCTGAATACCAATCTACCTTTCAAACCTCAATACATATAAAAAATGGCTTCAAACCCACCTCAAAGATGCTGTACTCTAGGTGTTAAGCACGAGTAAGTTTTATTCTCTCGATGAGCTCTTGGTGGGGTTCGGGTCTGTGAATGTGAAGCTTACGGAAATATTATCTTAGGGGTACACCAACTGGATCAACTATCAAGATTGCTGATACCATTGAGACCTATATTGCTGAGCCTAAAGAAAAGGTTCACAAGGATACTGCCATTCTTTACCTTCCAGATGTTATCGGTATCTGTATGTATTTCCTTCATTATATTCACAATGATTCCGGATTCAAGCAACTAATCTGAATTCCTTCAACCAGGGCAAAACTCCCAATTGATGGCTGATCAATATGCCGCTAACGGTTACTACACCATCATCCCCGATCTCTTTAATGGCGACCCAATGTCTCTTAATCTTCCCGAAGGTTTCGACTTCATGCAATGGTTAACCAAGGGTTCTGATGGAAACAACCCACATACATTCCCACATGTTGATCCTATTGTTCAAAAGTCCATTGACTTCTTGAAGTCTAAGGGATATACCAAGATTGGAGCTGTCGGATACTGTTTTGGTGCTAAATATGTCGCTCGATTTATGGCTGAAGGAAAGGGTATTGATGTGGGATATGTTGCTCATCCTTCGTACGTTTTTCATTTCATTTCCTTTCCCCTTTTTCCAATCCCCGAAAATACTCTAGTTTCAACCCCAACCCCAACCCTTGAGTAACAAACTAACAAACTCTCAAGTTTCGTCGATGAAGATGAACTCCGCGCAATCAAGGGACCCTTCTCCATCGCAGCCGCTGAAACGGATGAAATTTTCCCATCCGAAAAACGTCACAAATCAGAAGAAATCCTCAAGGAAATCGGTGCTACTTATCAAATCAATTTGTACAGTCAAACTGTCCATGGTTTCTCGGTTAGATGTGATTTGAGTAAGAAGGTGGAGAAATATGCCAAGGAACAAGCTTTTATCCAGGCTGTGACTTGGTTTGATGAGCATTTGATTTAGAGAAAGCAAGAATGAGGTTGAGGATGAAGTTGTGAGAGGAAGAGGGTACCAGAGTGAAAGAAGTAACAGGGAGGGAAAATCTTCAGAGGAAGTTGTATGCGAGTTTCTGAAGAAGAAGGGCGTATAGAAGGGCGAATAAACGAATATTAATGAATTCAAAACCATGGTTCGAAAGATTAATCTGGAAGTGAATTATTTATATGCGATTAAACCTGAATATCGATACTATATATATAACAGCAATAATGGATAAGAATAGGAACTGAGCGAAATCTAATTCGAGGTTAATCATGGGAGGAAATGATAATCTGTAAGTCCTTCTTCTAGAGCCCATATAAAGAGGTCGAGAATACACTAGATCATGTCCAATTATCGCATTCACGGTGTTAGTAGACCACCAATATCGATATTAGCTAGTGTTTGTGCCAAGACGGGACGGTGAATCCCCATACTAGGTACCTACAGTCTATCTCATTCCCTTTCCCATTATCCACTCCTTTTACTTCTTTCCCAGCCATAACACCTGCTAAGTACCGATATCATCGACTATCCCATCTATTTTTCAACTGGTTTGCTTCTCGTTATGGATTTTGATATATGAGGGGGATTAATGATGTGTTTTGAATTTTACTGTATTGGTTATGAACGGATGGATGGATGGATGGATTATCATGCTTTACGGTGGTACTGTTTGAATTGACCTGGAGGTTTAAGGACGAGTAAATTCTTCGAGAGCGGGTTTGGAGGAAATGTAAGGGGTGGAGTGGATTGCGATGGGCAAAGATGGGAAAAGTTTATTGTGTGGGAGGATGGGTGAGGTAGGAATTGTTTGGAGGGAGTGAGTAGGTGTTGATTGGAAAGGTGTTAATTGGAAAAGTACTGAAAGCGTGTGATATATGAATTGCGATTTTCGAGGACTTGGTTCATCAGGATGAGATGGAGCGAGGATAGTTAGATCATAGTTTTATGAGTGATTTTATACAGAGTGAGATTGGAAAGAGACTTGGTAGATGCGAATCGTGTGTTATGCACGAGAATGTCGTTGCAAGGAACAATGAAGCTCGGTAATTGAGGGGTAAAGAGGCGAGTATACTCAAAGAGAGTTGAGTAGTGTGTGGGGGATTTAGTCGTAGGGGTGAGACAAATGAGTTATAGAGGATGAAACTTGCATTGACACCTCATTAGACTACTTCTGGAGGTATAAATGCTCATGCTGATCGAGATTCTTTTGATGAGGGCGAATAACCTTTCAGGGGAAAAAAGGGTGAAGGGGGTAAGGTACTTTGTCATTGTGGTATCTATGGTTTTCAGTCTTTTTGAGGTTGGCATGATAGTTGGAAATTAGAGGATTTTTTTGTATTATATGATGTAACGAAAGGTTAAAAAAATAGTGGTTAATTAAGTACGTAGTGGAAAATGTATATCGTATCTAACTTTTTCACACCCTTCTACCTACACCCCTTCTACATACCTGCCTACCTATCACATTTCCAGATGTTCACTTACTAACCTTCCCTCTTCCCTTCTATGACGTTTAACACACTTCCCATCAGCTGATTCGGCGATAAGAATAATGTTACCGTCCTCCCGTCTTTCGCTTCTCCTTCTTATCAGAACAAATGAATCAATTTTCCCCATATAAAGTTCCAAGAAAAAAGAAAATAAATGGACAAGGATGAAAGCTCCTGCAAGGCGGAGGTGAACCCTTGTGAATCATGTACTTGAGGGACATTTTCTTTCCAACGTCAGCAACAAAGATTGACCAAATTCCGCACCACTTTTTCCCAACATGAATACTTGCAGATGATCTACGATACCTTGTTGCATACCGAAATTTATTTCTAGATATCTTTCAATTAGATTATTCCCCATGTGCCAAGCGAGGAGACGGTAGACGGTGACTTTTTTTCGATGATATGATATGATAAGGAATTGAAACAAACAGATTGATTGATTGATTGATCGGACGGATTCGAAAAACAATAGAGATATAGGATCAAGACCCCGCATCTTAGAAGAGCTTAGAGGCATGACACAAAAGCTTGGTAAAGCATTCAAGAGGAGCATTATTTGCTAGAGCTATCAATGAAGAAGACAAGATGTCTTCCGGGTATGGTGTTCCCATGTTCGTTGTGATATGTCTTCAACTAACAATATCTAATACAGTTCACTCAAGGACCTGACGAAAGCGATCAAAACATCAGTAACAACTTCTACCCGATTACCACTTCCAGACGACCTTGTGCGAATTATCCATACCTGCCTGGAGAAAAATCCTACCCACGATGAATCCGATGCCACCAAAATTCAGGAGGAATTACTCTCCATTTATGAAAAGGATATCTGCGACTATCCTACCCGCTATGCCCCCTTTCTATCCATCTTGCGAAAACTGCGAACCTCGATAAAGGGTGGTGGTAGAATGCTACAATGGTGGGATAAATTATGTATACCAGTATTGAGTCATCTTGGAGAAGAGAAGGGATTGGCGTTGGAAGCTAGGAATACTTTACTGGACATCCTTATTTACGACGAAGATGATGAACATGTAGAAGATGCCATTACTACTTCGGATACCGTGGCAGAGAATTTAATTGCGATTTGGTTGGCCAAGTGTAATAGTGTCGCTACAAACCTTGATGAGAATTCAAAGTTCATTGAGAGTCAATTAAGGAGTATACTCATATCATTTGGAAGGAAGAGACCAAAGGTATGTAGACTATATAATTCAGGAATGGAGGTGGAATTCTAACGACTTACAGAACTTCTTGACTGCTATCAACCAATTCTTCGTCAAGAAAGACAGTCGAATTCTTGCCCTCTCATTACTTTGCGAATTCATTCGACATCAACCCCCTCATTTACATCAACTCCTTCAAACTCCCCTCTTCGAGAACCTCCTACGATGTTTACAAATAGATACTTCGACTCGAGTGGTATCGTTGGCTATGACAGCTTTGATTATGTTCCTACCTCATATTCCAAGCTCTCTCTCCAAGCATCTCCCTGCGCTTTTCAATATCTACAGTAGAATGCTTTTTTGGGATAGGGAACGAAAGTATGAGGATAATTCGGCATCTGACGATCAAGATGACAGAAGTACTCACAGTACAAGTTCATGGACTAAACTATCTTACTTGCTGGATTCGGAAGATGTATCAGTTCCGGAATTGTTACACTATTACACATTTCTTTACGGCCTCTATCCGATGAATTTTATGAGTTACATTCGAAAACCTCAAAAATTCCTAAGGCATCAAGGATTTCCAGGAGCCAATGAATTCGCAGTTGAACCTATGGAAATAAGACAACGATCTGAACCTTTCAGACAACTCCATCTTTTACATCCAAATTTCTTCACAATGACTATTGATCAGGAATTATCAGATACTAATCGATGGATGAAAAGTGAAGCATCGGATGTGGTGACTGAATGTATGGCATTATACATACCAGGATATGCTCAACAAGCTCCATTATCAAGATCACAATTACCAAATCTACACATTGATACTAATGCCGACGTTCCAGATCAACCACTGACAGAACATAATGCATTCACACCTGCTCAATCTCGACATGCGAGTTGGAGATATGCTGGACCACCTACTATTGCGTCACCAGAAGCACTACGAAATTCTGTACTGAGAAGGGCATCATTCACAAGTCAATCAATGCCTTCAATTGCGGACTCCCCTATTTTGAGACCGGAAAGACGATTAGATAGTCCTACATTACCTCCAGTCATGGCTACATCACCTTCACATACTCACTTACAAGATATGTTGGATTCACAACGAGCTGGTTCAATCAGAGGTGGTATCTATCAAACTCTGACGAACGATAGCGTACAATCACTTGCGTTGAGTCATCATGCTCAAGATAATACTTCTCACGTTGATTCATACTTACAATCACTCACCCGTGCACACGCCCTTCGTTCACCATCTTTGAGACCTCGTTCACCATCTTTGAGACCTGGGACAAATGATTCTACGAAAGTTGCATACTTACAGAGAGATATTATGTTATTGAAAAATGACTTGAATTTTGAACGCTATCTCAAACAGCAACATCTTACGCATATTGGACAACTTCGTCGAAAGGCTATTCGTGAAGCAAGAGTCGAAGCCGAAACTCAAAACTTGATCAACTCCAACAAAATTTTGAGAGCCAAATTGGAAGATGCCAAGAAAGCCATGGTACAAATGAAGAAAGAATTTGACAAGAGTCGAAATCATTCTAGGAAATGGGAATCTGATCTGACGGCTAAACTGAGATTATTGAAGGAGGAACAAAAGAAGTGGATAGTGGAGGGTGATCAATTAAAACGTGAATTATCTGCATCAAAGATTGATATACACAATCTAAGGCAATTGGTCGTTCAAGCTGAGTATAAGGTTTCTCATGCTACGCAAGAAATTCAAGTGGTGGAATCAAATAAGGAAGAATTAGAGCGATTACGCATCGAGGCCGAAAAGCTCACTACGAAATTACGAAGATATGAAGCTCTAGAAGTTGAAATGGATCAAGCGAAACAGGATGAAGAACAAGCTTACAATACAATCGAAATCCTCAATATGAAGTTAAAGGCCAAGGATGCGGAAATCCAACAATTGATTGTCAAATGTCAAAAGGAAGTTCAAGAAGCACAAAATGCCAATCAAACTGGTTTTAAACAACTCGATCCTGCAAAACAAAAGATCATTGATGAGGCATTGGCTGGGTCGCGAAGACGCATGGATGATATGAAGAAAGCTCATTCTAATCTTTTAAAACGATATACCAAGTTACAACAAGATCACCTGGAAGCACTTACAGCGCAAGATAGAGTATCCGATTTACCTATGAGTATTGATGGATCCCCTGGGCCACATATTCCTCCAAGAGATCATCGTCGATTAACTCATAGCTATTCAGATTCGACAAGGCCGGGAAGTCTTGTACCTAAAGCAACGTTTCCACTTACAGGCACATCAAGTTTTATTGCTCGGCCTAGGATAGATTCTCACAGTCCAACATCAGGCCACGCATTTAGGTCAACACCAACAAGTACACCTACAAGTCCTGATTTTTATGGAGGTAGATTTTCTCATTCAAGTAACTTTGGCCCAGCGCCAAGTTCGTCGCATTCGGATGGGACAATGAGTCGAGATGGCAATAATAGTGATAGGGATTCTTTGGAAGTTCAGGCCAAGCCAAAGGTTAAGCCGCAAAGTGAAATGAGGGGTTATGGTCGTGGTAAGTACACTTATATCTTCAATCTAGTAAATCGTACATTGAATTCAAAGTTGAAGAAAGATGATACTTTCTCTCGTGTTTTCTGACTCTTCCTAATTATTATCTAACATTCAAATAGGAGGAGTTGGAAATATCGGAGCGGTGAAGAAGGATAATGGAAAAGATAAAGATAAAGGGAGGAAGGAAGGAAGTGGGAGTGGTGCGGAAGAGAGTCCAAAGAGTAGTCCAAAGGAAAAGAAAAAAGGGAGTGGATTGAGAGGGTTGAGAGCATTTGTATAAAGTAAAAAGTTATTGAGTTGATTGGATTGATGGATGAATCAAGTGCATATGGGAAGGGAAGGAAGCGAATCTTAAAAAAATGGTGATTGGGTGGGATGGGATGGAAATAGGAATGGGGATGGGGAGTTGGAAAAACGTATATAATTTGTGCGATTGCTGGCCTACTTTGTTTTTTATGGGATGGTCGATGATGATTGATTATTTGCTTCATCTATCGTCTTCATTGGAGGTGTTCGGTATGAAAATGGTATGGGAATGGGAAAAGGGATGGGTGGTTTACATTGATGAAAAAGTTTGAGGGTGTATATGAATATTTGAATTTGCAAATACCACTCTTCTTCTGAAATTTCAACTCATCTCTGGAGTTCGTTCACCAGTTCTCCTGATATATTGTCATATGAAAATGCTGTTGATTGATAATTGACTGATTATTGATTGACTGTATCAATTCTACAGACTTCTAGTTAGACGTTTAGATATCATGCTCTTTTCTGATATCTGGGGAAATATTAACGAATCAACTCTCAGCTGATCACGCTGACAAAGTTAAGCCGATGAATACCGTAGACCCGAGGTTTGATACTGAGATTTTGGTCTCTACGTTAGGTGGGTGTGAAAAAGATTTACGGAATAATTCGGTTTTAGGAAATGAGAACCGTTGTCTACCAGAGAGAAAATATATATGTACATATACATATGAATTGAAGGTTTCTGTTTGGTTTGAATTTTGTGAATTTTGAAGCAATATTTCAAACCTTCAAAGATTGTATTTGATGGCAAAATAAACATCCATTTGTGATCCATTTCTGCGAGGGGAAGATTACCGAGTACCGACCGATTGTACGGCGCTAGTATGACGTTTGCGGGTGAAGGGTGCAGCCAAAAGAGTAAACAGAAAACAGAGACGATACATATACACACATGCGATTTGATTAAAGGTATCTTTTCAAAACATTACGAATAATTCGATCTCTTAAGATCCTGTGGATAACTGGATAACTTGATAACTGGCAAATTTACAAATGGTATCTTGAAAGAAACTTTGCTCCGTGGAATGAGAGAAATTATCATGGTACATTGATTGATAAGAGAGGAATAAGAATCAAACAAATGGGAATGATATGACCAAGGATGCCTCATCGAGCTCAACAAATATATTTACAGAACAGAACGGATCACGAGAGACAAACGACAACAATACAGTCGAAACAATGGCGAGCGCAGTCGCTGATGAAAGGAGGAAATCCGCGCCAGCTATCTATCCCACGGATGATGATACGGTAGCATTGGGAAATAAGCAGTCGAGGATGGGGCAGAAGGAGAGGCATGGAGAGGAGGGGAAGTTAAAGTCCGCGGGCAAGGAGATTAGAAATAAACAAAGTTGGGATTATATTTGGAGAACGGGGTTGGCGGGGGGCTTGGCTGGTAGTGCAGTATGTATTCTCTTTACAATTTCTTGCGGAATCTATCTGCGGATTCTACTGGAAGAAATATCTAGAGCATCAAGGACGATGTAGCTAACAATATTCACCCCAGGCAAAAACCGTAGTCGCCCCCCTCGACCGAGTAAAAATCCTCTTCCAAGCCAGCAATCCTCAATTCGCCAAATACACCGGCTCCTGGTTTGGTTACATCACAGCCATGCGAGACATTCACAGCGATGAGGGACTGCGTGGACTCTTTCGCGGACATTCTGCGACTATTCTCCGTATATTTCCATACGCTGCGATTAAATTTCTAGCATATGAACAAATCCGCGCAGCGATAATACCGAGACATGAATACGAAACACCATTCAGAAGATTGATTAGCGGTAGTTTGGCGGGAGTAACAAGTGTATTTTTCACTTATCCCTTGGAGGTTATGAGGGTTAGATTAGCGTTCGAGACAAAAGGACGGAGCGTGGGGTTGGGAGAAATTTGTAGGCGAATATATCATGAAGTTCCGCCACAGCCTAAATTATCTACAACCACTGGGGTAGGAGGTCTAGTTGCCGGAGCAGAAAATGCGGTGCAGAGTATCGTTCCCAAAAGTGGATTGGCGAATTTTTATAGAGGATTTTCGGCGACGATATTGGGAATGTTGCCGTATGCTGGAATGTCATTTTTAACGCATGATACCGCGGGAGATTTATTAAGACATAAGAGTATAAAACAGTACACGACACTTCCGAAACCAGCACATTATGCGGAGAATAAACCAGCACCGCTTAGATCGTGGGCGGAATTATTTGCGGGTGGTGTAGCGGGATTGGTGTCTCAAACGAGTGCGTATCCTTTGGAAGTGATAAGGAGGAGAATGCAGGTTGGAGGAACTGTAGGAGATGGGAGAAGGCTACATATTGGGGAGACGGCGAGGATGATTGTTAGGGAGAGGGGATGGAGAGGTTTCTTCGTGGGGTTGACGATTGGCTATGTTAAGGTTGTACCGATGGTTGCGGTGAGCTTTTATGTTTATGAGAGGGGGAAGGGATGGTTGGGTATTTAGAGTGAGGTGTTTAGATGGGAAGAGAAGGGAAGAGCACTTGATAGATTTTGGTGTGGTGTGATGTTGTATTGTGTTTCGTGATATTGATATTGTATGTATGTTAGTATGTATGCATTTTCATTGGGAAGTCGGAAAGATGGACATTATTGGGATATTGATCCGGTGGGAAGGACATATTGATATTAAAATTTGAAGCTTTAGAATTAGAAATGGGAGTTATGTATCATCTAGGTTGATTATGATATCAGCTGTTGTCGTTTTTCATTTATGCATTCATGGATAGAGATGTGAAATTTCTAATACGGTTACAGTAGACCAAGCGGATCTTCTTTTTTTCATTCTTCATCTTCATCATATCTTTCCATCTTATCTTATCTCATCTCACAATGAAGAATTGGATTGAGAATCTTGATGCTAGTACGACGATGGAATAGTACACAGGCGAAGTCGTGCATTGTCTTGATTTTTTCAGCTGAGGGATTACTTGCATATTTTGTGTGTATAGTTTGTACATGGATATGTAGAAGTGTGGTGTTTTTTTCTTCTTGATCTGAAGGGGAGCAGGTGGATGCATGGGGTTTGTGGATTTGTGAGATAGAGAGAAGGTGTTGGAATTGAGGAGTGGACGCTATTCATAATCTAATCGTCGCTTTTCGACGAGCGTAAAGAGACAAGGAAACCTCAATGTTGGTGGAGGCTGGAGATCGGGATTTGGAGAGATTGAGGTTGAGGTTTGAAGGAAGAGAGGGGTTGGTGGGTACGGAAGGAGAAAGATGGATATGAAGCGGGACTTGGGACCATACAGTATCGATTTTTCTACAAACAAATGTCTTGTTCTGTAGAGTGAACGGTTTGGTATCGGCGAGTCGGTATTTATTTTATCGATTGTACTCTCAAGACTTTATTTTATGCATGGGAACATACCTTTTGAAATCTGTTGTACTTGTATTTTGTACCTGCTTGTATCTGCTTGTATTCGTGTTTGTGTAACTACATTACTCTCGTCTCATCTTATCTATTCAGATGCGCTACATTCTTGTTATATTCTACTTTATAACATATGCTTCCGTTTAGCATTTTTCCCATCAAATCTAATTTTACCTCCACTACTCCTCATCCTTTTCAAGTCACCTAAGCGAGAGGTAGGATTTGATATAATTCATTGAGTTTGAACAAAGTAATTATTCTACCCTATAGACCTTTCATTCCAAACAAACCACAACCAGCTAAGACAAATGCTCGGCCGAATCTTCTATCCTGCTCTTCCCGCTCCTCCTCCCAATCTCTCTCACTCACCCCTTTCACTCCCATCAAAAATGAGAAATTTAACTCCAAGTCAAATAGCAACACTTCTCCTCCTCCTCTCAACTATCTCTTCTCTCTTACTCAACTCTACATTTTCTCCCTCTCATCGAACGATACATTTGTAGCACTTATACACCTTCTTCTTCTTCTCCTCTTCCTTTCTCTACCACGGATGTATTTTTATCGTCAGATGAATTGTGTAAATCTCCACCAGTACAATCACGGATAGCGGAGATGAATGGGATATTTCAGTTTTTTGAGCTATATTCCGGGAATTTTTTTAACGGGACCTTGGGGTTGGATTGCAAGGAGATGGGGGATGAGGAGGGGGGTTGTGGGGTTGGTTGCTGGGAGTGGGGTGTTGGGGGGAGTGTGGTGGGGAGTTGTTTGTGAGTTTTCTTTTCCTCTATTGATAAGTACTTGGATTTGGGAGAATTTGATTTGGGAGAATTAAATTTGAGGAAAATTAGATTCGGGGAAGAATTATAAGTTGTGTCTTTAGAGTTTGGAATTTGTGGAGATGCTAATATTCGATGAGGGAATAGGTTGGAATTCTGATACGTGGGATATTAGATGGATTTATCTCATACCAATTTTTGATTTGATAGGGGGTGGAAAAGTGGTTATGGTTAGTTTGTTGTATACTTATATTGGTGAGGAAGCAGATGCTGAGGGTGGAAATGGGGGTTTGTATGTTTCTCTTTTTATCTTTAGTGACTTTGTACCTGGATTTACCACATTATATTTTTTTCTCGCATTTCCCAGGCGTCTCTGTACATTGGAACCTTTCTTATATCAAAATGCTTATCATGAATAATCTAGATCCTCTACCTTGTATCGTCTCGTGGCTCTACAACTTTTCAGTAGTTTCAAAGCTCTTTCATTCGCAGGATTTCTGTTGAAGTATGAATATGGTGTTTGGATTATCTGTGCGTTTGCGGTTGGATTCCGAGTTCTTTCCATTGGAATTGCGATGCTTTTACCTTCAGGTAAATTCGTTGAGTCAAATACCAACATACAAAATTTAGAAAGGGATCCAGGTATGGAAAGGGGAAGGTATAGAGATTCCATCGATGAAGAAAACGAGCAAGACAACGATTCAGAAACCATACAACTTCAACAAATCACGACACCTCATCCGTATCATCAACTATGTATATAAATACTTTCCCATCGCATCCGATACCAAAATTTCGTATTAATCCACAAACTTCATTCTTATCTCTTGCTTTCCTCATTACTTTCTCGCTAAAAATTCATATTCTTTACCCTCAATTCACTACTCTTTCTCAAAATCTTCCATACAATGTTACTACAACCATTTACAGTTTTTGTTTATTGGGTTCTAGTATTCTACTAATTTTTCTCCCACAAATCGTAAAATTCATGAATCGGAGGAAATTACGAGTGTTGTTTATTCGCAGCGAAGAAGGAAATGAATCGGAAATTGAAGAAAGAGACGGAATAGAATGTCATGAGGAAAATGATTTCATGGTTCTAAAATGGAGTTTGCTGGCTAATATTATGAGTTTAATACTCTTGGCACTTCCGACAACAAGAGGAACAGTATTCTGGTTGGCTATGGGGGGAAGTGTAGCGGGTAGTCCGGTGCAAGTTGCTTTGCTTGCTTGGGGGAGTGGATTAGTTTCTGATTCGAGCTCAGGAGATTCTGATAATTTTGAGGAAGAGAATATGTGAGAGAAGGAGATATATTACTTCGGCTCAAAATGTCTTGCAAGATTTGGAATTGGAAGTAGGTGGGATCAATTGCAAAGAAAAGGAGGTGGAAGATCAGAGATAGAAAAATTCTATGTGAGAATGGGAATATTGGAACAAGTAGGTGCTTGTTTGGGGACAGGGGTATGGAGTTTAGGATTTGCGAAGGGGATGGGTGGAAATGATGGAATTGTGGACTTTTCACGGTGGGATTTAAAGGGATGGATGGATGAGAAAGGTGGATTTGTTTTGGCAGCGGGGTTGTTGGGATTGGGATTGCTGGTCGCTGTGAGATTGGAAAGGAGAATTGAGGGTGAGAGTCGAGATGGAAGTATTGTACTTTGGTAAAAGTGGAAGGTGCAAGGCAGTGATTTATGTGTAACGAAGCTTGATGACCATGGTTCGAATCCTGCTTTCTGAAAAATACGTTGACGAACTTAAACCCTTGTGATAGTGTATCAAAGAGGAAGGAAGTGATATGACTTGTTATCAGCTACTTTTTACACATTACTTATAGCTCAACTTCATGATTACTAAAATTACACTCATTGCACTCATGATACCTCAAATCAACATTATAAATCAAGTAATTTGGACAATTCAATATCATCAAGTAATTTTACATATTACCACATTATACATCCTTTCATCATGACTTTCAATCCGAACTCAGACGACCTTGATATTTATGATACCTCGGATATGTTATTTCAAACAACTGAAAAGATGGATCTTAATGATCCAAAAGAAAAGGTCTTTGAACTGCAACTGGAATTTGAAGATTCAACAACAGGATCATCGGTATCTTCAGATCCAGAACTTGAGGATTTCCCGATAAGAACACTGGTATCCCAGAATACGGATCCTGAGTGTTCTTCGAAAGCAGTAAAAGCAGTACTGATATTGCCAGACACGAGGGATATCGATCCTGCGGCTCCTTTGAATCTGACTTCCCAAATAATCTCAAGACCATCAGGTGCAAGAATGATTAACAACAGACTGACCCTTACGAAACTAGGTATGGAAACTTGCATTCTCGTTCGTTTTTGCAAGAAAAAAGAAAAAAAAGAAAAAGCTGACAACAATCAGAGAATAAATCAGAAGTGATGAATGCACTTGCCATTAAACTTGGACTTTCTCCCGCTCTCAAGTTTTTTGATGCCTGTTCATTTACTGGAACGGATTCAATGAAGAACATACCTCGTCCAGTCTATGCTCTCCTATTTTCCATACCATTCACGTCTACCTGGGAATCAATTACACGTGCAAAGGAAATGGCAAAACCACCTTATAAGGGAGTGGACCTGATCAGCCTGTGATTTGGTTCAAACAAGTAATTGCTGATGCTTGTGGCTCTATGGGTCTCTTACATTGCCTTTTAAATGGACAGGCTCATAGATATATTCTCCCTGATACCATATTATCTAGACTTTATGAACGATCCATTCCCTTAGGACCTGATGACCGAGCAACGATGTTATATAACGACCAAAATTACGAAGATGCTCACCAGGCCATTGCTATTTTAGCCGATAAAGCATCATCAACAGAGAAAGTTGAGAAGTCGAAACGACATTTTGTGGCTTTTGTAAGGGGGGAAGATGGGTCATTATGGGAAATGGATGGAAGTAGGGGGGGTCCTATTCGTAGGGAACCAAGATTGGAAGAGCATGAAGATCTTTTGACTGATGATATATTGAGATTTTGTATGGGAGGATTTGTTGATACTGATAGTGATGAGGATACTATGTGTAGTTGCATTGCTCTTACTAAAGATCCAACTGAGGCTGTAACTTTGCCATTGAATTCTCTTAGTCGCGGTCATTTGATGAATGAAAGAAGTGAAGGTGTACAACCACGTACTTTTTGGGATCCAGCTTGGTATGGAACTGATTGTTGGCCCTGATAATGAATTGGTTATGAGGTGGAGGTATTATAATGATCAATAGCGATGAAAAGTAGTTTACAAACTAGCGTCTAATATTATTAATTCAGACAAGAATTATAGCAAGTTTAAAGAATTTCTGACACTTTTTTGACAGTTCAAGGGAAGTATTCAAATATGTATTCAAATATGTAACGTTAGGTATCCAAATAAGTATCTGGTGTATCCAAATAAGTACAAATAAGATCCAAATTTGAAACTTCTCGGAACTGCAACTAACCGTTTTCGGATTTGCAAAATTAATCTGATAGGATCTTCATGATCAATTCCTAGAATACATATTTACTGCGCCGGGCGGGAAAATCACTACTGGGATCTTATAGGGTTAAGACTCAGTTCCGCTTAAACAATCGATACAATCTATATCACTAGATGTTGACGAGGCTGTAAACTAGACTGAATCTCATACTCCGAAAGGATCAATAAACTAGGTTAATATGGAACTACTTGTACGGTTAAAAACATGCTTATTAAATTATGATTAGCAAAGTATCCTTTCATGCCGTGAACGCCACAACACCACACACAACCACTACCGAGGTCTTACATCCCCGCGTTTTCTAGGATCTTTCCCCATGGTCAAAATACCAAGAAAGAACAAGACAAGTATTAATAAAATCATTCGGACTTATACTCGGTGGTAATACACGATCAAATGATTGTGAACTACTAGATGAAGATATCAGCCGATATAAAAAAGGGTCCGGTAATTTGGTTCACGAGGGTAAACAACGCATAATTCAAAGATCGATACTACGCTGCTGACACTCTTTGAAACGAAATCTTCAACACTCATTTGGCAATTCAATAGGTAATCTGTAATTTCTGCAGGGCTCACTTAGTGTTCAAGTTACTTCTGTCAGATTGTCGAGTGGCTGAGGCTCAGATCTTTGTGTCCCAAGTGGTCATAAATTTTCCGTAGCAAATACTCCGTACCCCTTAATTAAAAAGAGTATACACGGGAAACGATCAACATTGAACTATAAACATTGTGGCTTTTGATGTTAGCGTAAATGATAAGATATAATAAGTCTTCTCATAACTTTCATTCGTGGGGATAGTGTTCGCATGTTCTGGTCACTCATATGTATTACTGCCTGCCTTCTGCCTTCCGTCTCTCCTCCAGCACAAGCTTCATGGATTCGGATATTGCAAGTCAAATTGGAAAGTGGAATTCAGCGAATGAACATTGAATTCTTCAGGTCGAGGCGTGCCAAGAATTGAGATGATCAAATACTCCGGATTAGAGCATCAAATAGTCCGGAAGGTAGATTGAACGCAAGTTCTTGATATCTGAAAATAAATACAATGTTTACAATCTTCAGTATTTTTCCATCAACTCAGAACTATTTGTGACTCAGAACTGTTTGTGCAAAAAGAAAGTAACATCTCAGACGAGGTAGAATCTAATACCCCGAACCATCTAAATCGTTCACTGAAATGAGAAATTGGAAGTTTCTCAATTGTCAGACTGAAATCCGGACTATTGGGACACTACCCCGGATTTTTCGCACATGGTTTTAATATCAGAAGATACTTTGATTACGTTGCAATCCTTCGCTGTGTTTCTCTTGTAACTCTGATGAGCAAGGAAGCATGTTACACTCACAAGACGGAAATGATTTTTAAACTCGGTGGTGTGGTTCATGGCAAGTGATCTAATTAAACACTCATTCTCGTCTTGTGAAAGTGATAGTTTTTTCTATAGTGAGCATATAAGTGCTCATCTTTTCCACTTTAGATCTTCTAATGGCAGATCTTACACTCCTTCTGATTGAATTCTTGCATTTCCCTTCCTTCCTTAAAGCGTAATATTCACTGGCTTTTGGAGCCTCTGCAAATGCTTGTGTAATCATCTTCATTCCACACATCTATCCTTCATCAATCAAGATGTCTCCTAAATCTACCTTCCTTTATACAAATCTCTTACTATCCTTACCTCTCACAATTACCGCTCTTGCTCCATATATTCAAGGAACCTATCAGCAGTATGCAACTGCTACCTATAACCTCAAGGATACTTACAACTCTGCCAACTTCTTCTCTTCCTTTAGCTTCTTCACGGGTGAAGATCCTACTCATGGATATGTATCATATCAATCTCAATCAGCTGCCTCAGCACAAGGTCTCATCAACACCAACTATGGCCAAGTCTACTTAGGTGTTGATCATAAAACGGTTAACCCTTCAGCTGGTCGTGCATCAGTCAGACTTACGAGTAATAAGGCATATAATCATGGTCTATTCATTGCTGATATTGCTCATATGCCTGGATCAATCTGCGGAGTATGGCCCGCTTGTGAGTAATTCTTTCGAAAAGTCTAAGTTAGATGGTTGACTAATACTTCTTTTAGTTGGCTTGTTGGTCCTAATTGGCCATATGGAGGGTAAGTTCTTCGCATTTATATTTCTCTCGCTTATCACCGGACTTCTCCACCGCACACTCAGTTCTGACTATATCCTAGAGAAATCGACGTCATCGAAGGTGTTAATCTCGCCGGCACAAACAGCATGACCTTACATACCGGACCCGGCTGCGTAATCAATACAGCTGGTTCTCAACCCGGTATTACCTTAAGCGATCCGAATTGTAATTCTAACAGCGGCTACAACGGTTGCGGCGTGCTTACCAATAAAGCCAATTCCTACGGAAATGGTTTCAACTCTGTCGGTGGCGGTGTCTATGCCATGCAATGGGAATCCTCCGGTATTTATGTCTGGTTCTGGCCTCGAGATAGTGTACCCGCTGATGTCACTGCTGGAAAACCTGTAACGGGTAATTGGGGATTACCCCTCGTGGCATTTAATGGAGGAAGTGGGTGTAATATCGATAGTTTTTTTGCGAATCAGCAAATTGTTTTCGATACGACATTTTGTGGTGACTGGGCGGGATCTGTTTGGTCTAGTGGGAATTGCGCTAGTGTTGCGAGTACATGTAACGCGTATGTAGGAGCGAATCCGGCTGCGTTTGCGCCAGCTTATTGGTTGATTAATTCGGTTAAGGTCTATCAACAATAGGGGGCTGTGTGGGAAATAGAAGAGTTCGAGTTGAGTCGGGATGTGGAGTTAAAGGCTATGGGGTACAGTCAGTGTGTTTGTTTTTTTGACCGATGATTCATGTCGATTGTTATGACGTGATGAGGTTAGATATGACAGCTAGTGCGCTCGTTTTGTGGCTGTCTAGTAGACTTTTATATAGGACGAAGACAAAGATAGGATTGGAGGTGCGGTCGTTACCATAGTTGCTGGCGCATTTGAAGATTTATGCTTACAGTATATAGACTTTGATTTCTGTGTATATAATAGGGGATTAGATTCGTTTTTAACTCATTTCAATACGTGAAAGTTATCGCATCGATGAAGCCTGTTTGCGAAGACTCAATAATGTCACGATAAATCCGCTCCTCCCCGCCCCCCGTTCGAATGGAAAGGTGTTTATAGTTATGTAAGGAAAAGGTATTGCTTTTATTTGTTGTTATTCTAGTTCGAAGTAAGTGATGTTTCTTTCTAACAGACCTAAGCAAAAGCCCTTCCTCTCCATCTTTGTTGTCATTTTGTCTTGCTGGAACAAGGGAAAAGTATTCGATCGATAGTGATATCGATAGACTTTGAGTTATCGCTTGCTAGATAGATGAGCCAATTGGTAGTCATCATACACCCCAAATCTTAGGAATCTGTAGGACTTGGATTTGAATGTCCAATTATTCGCGAAAGATTGATTCTAGCCAAATTCCTTGTAAAGTGGATGCTATTCAAAACCGCCTGCTTCTAATCTTATCATAATCACTTGAATTCCGCAAGACTCTTTCCATTTCCCTCCCATCCCCACTTCTTAGGCCACCTCCTTCCAAAACTTTCTTAACAACTCTCCCTAATCTCACAATCCCCTCTTCTAAACAATCCGGCTCCTCCCACGAAAAACAAAGTCTCAATCCCCTAGGCAACTTCACACTCTCATCCCCTTGCACCTCGAAAATACTTCCTTTAGCTACCACCAGATTTTCATCTTCCAATGCCATCTGCGCTACCAAATCACCATCAATTCCACCTGGCAAACTCAACCAAATGAAATAGCCTCCGAAGACTTTTATTTCACCCGTTTCCATGCCCGTATTTTCAACCGTTACACCTAATGGACCCAATTCCCTCTTAATCGCACTCATCATCCTCTCGCATCTCTCCTTATAAGCAGGCTGAAGTACCCCCTCAATGTGTCTCATCAAATCTCCAGATCTTAAAACCTGATCAACAATAGTAGCAGTCAATTGACTTGCGCATCCACCACTCCTCGAACTACCCACTAAACTCAATCCTAACGCGAATTTAGGAGTTGCTTCAGTCCATCCGGTACGAACACCTGGTCCTGCTATTTTACTGAATGAGCCGTTACTGACTGCATTTCCGAAACTGGCTGCATCAGGCGTAGGTTCGAGTGTACGGTCAATGTCTACGAGACGAGGAAGTAAAGCCTTTTTGAGAGGAGCATCAGAGGAAGATGATGAGGTAGGCCATTGGAGAAAATCATAGACATCATCTGTGACGATTAACGCATCGTATTTGCGAGCCAGTTTAACGAGAGAAGTGCGACATGATAATGTCATTGTTTTTCCAGATGGATTTGAAAAGGTTGGGACGCAATAGATAATGTTTTTGTAGATCTTACCCCATGATCTCGATTTTGAGTCTTTGATAGGCTATCCACATTGGTTAGCGTCATTCATTGCTATTCTGTCATGTACCAGATTTTACAACTCCAGAACAGACATTGAAATCTTTCAAATCACGTCAAACACCTAACATACCTCGACGTCACTATCCTCCTTGCCGGTCTCCTTCATCATTCTTTCCAATCCCTCCAAATCCACCCCCTCATTACCCTCCCCAACAGCTCTAACTCTCAATCCACTATCATCAAAGATTCTCCCGGCCAAAAAATACCCTGGCGTAACCATCCAAACTCTCGTAACTAGAGGATCTGTATATGTCTGTAAAACACAAGCTAGATTTTGCGATGCTCCTCCTGTGATACATATCCTGTCTGCTTCTGGACTCATCTGTGTACCTTGATTATCTTTATTTAATGGTTCCCGATAATTCTTTTCTTCGCCTGAGTTGGAGCCAGAAGTAGGATAATATTCAGAGTAAAATTCTCGAAGCCATATCGCAACACTCTCCCTCAAACTTGGTGATCCTGGATCCGGTCCATACAATAATCCCGGATTAGCTAGATCTGGGTTTGTAAGGACTTTATTTGCTGCATTGTGAATATGCGAAGTGGGAAGAAGAGAAGTATGAGGCCAGCCTCTCAGTAGATTAATCTGTTTTTTCGGTGGATTGATCATTGATTTAGACTTTGAGGGATAATTTTTGGTCATGATGGACAATGTATAATGTAGTTGGTTGTTAAGGTAAGGTTAGATGTTTGATATCTGATGGTATGAGATAATGTGCGCACGGACTCATAGAGCGCCTATCAACTTTACAAATCAACTTAATAAATCATAATCATCTCAGGATACATTTGATCTTTTTTAAAATGGGGTTCATTATTATTTGACTTATGATAAACCATTAGTCTAGATTTTAAGATAATCAAAAGGGTATTGAAGGGGTTGTATGGCTACCAAGTTCAATCATTTTCGTTGAGATCGACATAAATAGTACGCCCTTTATCGAGCCGAAGTGGGGGTTGATGATGGATGTAAGGGAGGGTGATTGAGTGTGTTGCTTCATCATTCACATAGAAATCACATCATATTCATGATTTCTCATCAGACTTTTGTGTATGTTTTCATGATTTTAAAATATTTTTTTCATCTGAAAATTGTGTTAAGAAGCCATTTCCATTTGGCATTGCTGTCATCCCGAATGTACAGCCATAGAGCAAAACATATTGCAATGAAGTACTTGTGATTGAGAGTTTCTTAGGAATCCTCATGAATATTTCAATGTCCAGATGATCCCTTTTTGTTATCCCTCATATCTTCGTAAATAATGACCTTCATGTCATCCAAACCTATGCCTATGCCTCTCGAAAAACAGTAAGAAGCAAGTCATGACTGCGTGCAAATGTACATTGCGATCCATAATGCAACCCAAATTGCTTAATGATCGCTGACAAGACAAAAACCCACTCATGAGGATTTTGAAGTTACAAGTGTAGATATTTTGAAGAAAAAAAGTGATGTTGTGTAGAAAGAAAAAGGTTGCTCCTATAAATACACGTTAAAGGTTCGATACCCATGAAAGAATATGATGACCATTATCGTGTCTCCTTGAACTATTCTGACATTTAAGTGTGAACTGGTGTGGCAGCATGGCGGTTCCAGCTAGTATTATTCCCAAATCCTCTTCCACCACGGCCACGCCCAGAAGTATTGTTTGTATTTGCAGGTGGAGTTTCACGAGGGGTGGATGAAGAGCCATTGTTACTATCTCTTCCACCACGGCTACCTCTTGGATGTGTTGACGAAGTTTGTCTTGATCCGCCGCGTCCACGTCGCGGGTTGCTTCTAGTCCGAGATATTAGAAGTTGAACCACTTTAGACTTTTCCTGACCGGGTAGCAAAATTGTTAAAGAACCGAAATTGTTGCTGATTTCCATTGGAAATTGCATTGATTCTGCGGATGTTGTATCAGACATGAGGAACTTTCGAGGAATATTTCTTGGAGGGGGAGCAAGTTGAAAGGCATTTGATGGAGTGGTTTGTGGCATTTTGATGACAGGTAACGAGCCCATCTCTTGTTCCTCAAAGCATTCCTCCGCAGCCGGCTTCGTGTCGAGTGATTCTTGTTCGCCAAACAAATTATCGTTGACGGAGCCAGGGAGGGAAACCACAGTGGCAGTAGAAGCGTGCGACTCTGATGAATGATCAAATGCACGTCTGCTAGAAGAATCGACAGCAAGAGCATGAGTTCTTGGTGGTGACTTCTTGCCGAACAGTTGATCAATTTTTTCCTTCCATTCTCCTGTTTGGGTGGATGAAGGTACGCCTCTGCGAATGTCGTAAGAAGTTGACCCAGCCCGTACGAGTCCTTGACGGGCTACCATACCAGGAATTTGACTGATGGCAGGAACTGCAGGGGCTGCGGCTGCGGCTGCAAAAGATGTTGGACGTGGAGGAGCAATTGGTGCAACGATGGTCGGAGGTGGCAATCTAACCACAGGTAATGGAGGTGGTAGAGCAACATGTGGTTGTGCAAAGTCGCTATCATAAGCCGGGTGACCATCCATGGTAGGTGGAGGTGGAGATGGTGATGATGATCGTTCAAAACCATGGCCATTCATCTCTTCAAGGCGAACGTCGCGATTGTGGCTCGGGAAAAACTTTGACTCTCGATGTGCACTTGATGCGTTAGTCTCTTGACCCGGCCATGAATTGTTATTGTACTGTGTTCGAGACAAATCGGGTCGAGCATTACCACGAGAAGTATTTTCGGTCAAAACTGAAGGAGTCGACGATCTTCCATCAACTAAAGCAGTCGAAACCTTCTTCGTCTTACTTCTTGTGCCATCTTCATTTAATGTAACTTGCTTCCAGGTGTCTTCGTAGACAGGCTGAGGAAGCTCCTCTACAATACCAGCTGCTTCCAATTCACGTTTGCGCTCCATTTCCTCCTGATGTTGTTGATGAAGAATTGCATCCTCTTGTGATATTCTATCAGGTACACCACCCCAAACTTGTCTAGCCATAGCTTTTCGCTGCTCATCCTCGTATGATCTTGGTGGCTGAGGTACTCTGTTCGCCGATGGAGGTCCGATTGGAGGTGGTCGGGAGTTGTATTGGTTTTGACCACGATTTGCCTGATAAGAACCATTACCACGGTTTGCGCCAGGTGGTCCAATTGGTCCTGGATGAGCAGATGAATGAGGCATATCTGAGAGTGATTGGCGAGACATCTCAGGAAGCCTATTCAATTCTGGATTAAAAGTACCGTTTCCAATTGTTTTTTCATTTGTGGGAGGTCCCCAAATCCGCGAAGATGAATTTTGTGGTGGTGGGGGCGCAGCCGACCATGAAGTGAATCTATCAGCCGGGTAATTTGAAGCTGAATTTCTCTGCCATGATTGTGAATTTCGGTTATCGGGCATAGTGTGTTGCGTAGGCGCCGAAGCACTGGGCTGAAAGACACCATTTGATCGTGAATCGGTGGCAGTAGAATTTCCTTCAATGTAACTTGCATCATCATTTTCATTCGTGATTTCCGATTTAGGCACGTGGGCATCATTGGAGGTTTCCGTTTCCGTTGATTTGGCCAAAACAGGCGTTTTTCCTTCGCGGGATTGAATTGAGGTAGGTACGCTTTCCTCTTTGACCGGCTCTTCCTTAACCTTTTTCTTCTCTGGAGGTGGACCCATTGCTTCAAGCTTAATCCGGATACGCTCCTTTCTCTCAGCCTCCTCTTTGGCTTCGGCCTCTTGTCTTCTCTTAATCGCAAGTTCACGGGTTCGTCTCATGATAATCTTTTGTTCTTCCAAAGCATCATCGTCACGTGCAGCGCCCACTGGTGGGCCCTGTGGCGGACCTTGACCATGCATGTGCATATCACCCGAACCTGAAGCAAGTTGTCCATAAGTAGAATGAGGAGATGCATGACTAACAGCTGGCGATGCGCGAGATTGCCATGGTTGACTTTGGTTTTGATAACCTCGTTGCTGATGTTGCTGGTTTGGATAATTTTGACCAGACGGGGAGAAATTTCTTGGTGAAGACGGCGCATCACTTACAGCTGCCAATGAGCCTCTGCGTGCGTTTAACATTTCGTGAGGTGGTGGCATATCATGACCGCGGCTCATACGTCTAGTAAAATTTCCACTTCCCCCGCTAACATTAGAAGAAGTGCGACGGCGTCCATAATTGCCTTGTTGCGCGCTCGTGTGATGAGTTTGAAAAGCGGCAGATGGCTCTGCAGGCCCATCTTGATGCGATGGTCGTTGAAGGACTGCAGGACCGCGAGATTGTCCATCGGATCTAGAAACTCCACGTCGACCCTCATTAACAGGCTCATACCGACCAGATTGCGAATTATAGAGCTCCCGATTAGCATGTGCGTTGCTTTCTCTCCAGGTTCGGCTGAAATCATCGGCCGCAATTTCCTTCGCAGGTGGTTGTGGCATACCAGAAAATCCATGAGGATCGCGTTGGTTAAATCTGTTTTGCTGAGATTGTTGGGGAACGTCAATTGCGACAGGGGCCACTTTTTCGACTGGAGGAAGTTGAGCCCATGGAGACTTGACAGGTGTTGGAGGTCCAGGTGGTTTTGCAACGAGAGTAGGTTTTTCGGGAGCACCTTTGAGCACCAATCCAGCTTTTCCGGACCCAAGTCGAGGAGCAGGAGCAGCTATCGCCTGAGGTGCTGGTGATTTTGATGGCTTTGGTGCGGGTTCAGTTTTTTTAATTTCCTTTACGACTGGCGCAGGCTCTGGTACAGGTTCGGGAGGTGGAGGGGGTGCATCATCTGCGTGCGGTAGGGTAATTTTCGTGCCATCCGTCCATTCAATTGATTCGGGTGCCCAATCATCATCGTCATCGTCGATATCTGCCCAATTTGCCTGCTTACCGGGGTCATCAGATTGTAATCTAGTCGCTAAATGAATACCATAACGTTGCTTGAGTTCTTCATCCGTAAATCGCTTTGGCTCTGGTGGGGCAGCAGCTGTCTTATGTTAGAATATTCCCACTTTCAACATATTGTGTAACATACGTCTATTTTTGTTCCACACGGCACTCGCATCCGGAGCACCACCAGCTTTTCCACCATTTGCGGTAGTTGAAGCTCGTGGAGTTGAATCACGGAGGCCACTGCCTGATTTCGCGACCAATCTAGGTTTTGGGGTAGTTGAGGTTGAAGCGGACAAAGTTGCTGGCGCAGTACTAGAAACTGCAGGACCTTTATCTCCAACCTTCGATGGGACTGCAGCCGTGGAAGCTTTCGATGCCAAAAATGTCTTGTTTACTGAAACTGCCTTGAAAGATGGGACTGGTTTCTTGAGGGTTGAGGTTGTTCGAATATGACTACCTTTATCATCACCAATTTTCGAGGTTTCCGCTTTTGTAGCTTCAGTATCCGATCCTCCATTAACACTGACCTCCGCCGAGTTATTGTTGGTGACTTCGAGAGAATCTGAATCTTGTTTACTTCCATCTTTATCGGCAGTCGCTCCATCTACAGAGAGAAATTTGTCGGAGGGGACATCTTGACTCTTAGCTTCAGTAGTGTTCTGGGCGCATGTCAGCATCTTCCGATTAACTGCAAGGGATTGAATATTTAGACTAACTAGCTCATGATCAGGAGTTATAGATGACGTCGCGAAGTTCTGAGGAGTGGCTTCAGTTGCCATCATACGTCTTCAAAATGTTTATTTGGTATCGAAGTAACTGCGCATACGTTGACCCGATCGTATTCCGTGAATGTACAAGCTTTCTAAACCTTGGAGATGTAAATATGGTGGGGGGAATTCGTTTTCGTAAATGTGAGGTTGGCTTGCGACAAATTAGGTACGATATCCTCAATAAAGGCGGTCGCAATATCTTAAGTAACTGAAATCGGGAGAAGTAGAAGAAGGGAGGAGTCAATGGGAGGAAGTATTGAAGTTGATTTATCTTCTTGCGGGAGACTTTCATACGATACGGACACTATTATGTATCATGTCGAAGTTTAAGGTACGGAACCATTCAAAATGTGACTCTAACCTATTTTAGTAGTAGCGTGATAATGTTAAGCGTTAGCGTTTGAATCTCCTCGAGGCTGAAGTGAATTTTAACATGAACAAAAAAAAGGTCAGTGTGTGTGTGCACCCTTGGTAATGACATGTTGTGAATCAGTCATATATCACTTCTTTATCTTTGTTGATATGATAAATTTTTATAAATTTCAGATTTGGATCAATACAGTACAGAATATACAATAACACACATAGATACTTCCAAATGAAATATACTCACCTCATCGTTTTGATATCGAACGAAAGTCAGGTGGTAAGGCTCTCTGTGTTCACAACTCCAATGGGGCTATCTTACGGTCTTGGAGTCACAGCTACATCGGCTGTTCTATCCATGAAATAACCCAAAACATAAAGGTAGGACAAACTCGGGGTGACACATGCGACTGTTACATTGCGAAAAGCGATGAGCCAGTCAATTTTCGTGATGTAGTAATGAGATTTTTAAATGATTTCTGAACTCATTTCCTCCCACGGCACAGTTCCTTCAATTTTCAGTACGTCAAAGACTGTTCATAAGGTATGGCTGTGATAGTAAAGGCAATGATATGAAATGAAGAGTGCAGTCTGCATACTTCTAGAGGGATCATTGCTTGTTAAACCCCGTAAAACTTCGATGGAGGGAATGCAAACATGTAATGAATCTCAAGAGGTTTCGAATTGGGTATGTGTGGTAGCCATCGCCTTGCCTATTATGATTGTGCTATGTAAGTGTAGGCTTGCCGAGTTGAAATGGGTTCTTCCACCACACAGAATAGTCATTGGTAGGGTTGCTTAAGGGCACAAATTGCGTCACACCCTATATAATGACCACAACGCATGAGATTCAACTAACGGCTTGTCTGGTATTCATCTATTCCTTTCCTTATTTACACCCAAGTAACACAATGCCCGCGTATGTTCTCCATCAACCTTCTTCTCTCCTTAATCATCCATCTAGTGAGCATTGTTCTTGTGGTGACCTGCGCCGTATTATTAGTTGTCTGGCAATCCATAAAATTCAAAGATGTAAAGGCTTACGCAAGTGGAAGTAGTAGTTTTGAGCATAACCAATACCAACCAAGAAGATCAAGGCGTGAATAATAGGTGTGGCAGAAGGGTTCTTTCCGAAGTACTTGGCTTGGTATCTACCCAACAATCCCTTGGCCTTAACCTCTGGTGCTGGTCCGCGGGGAAGTTTCTCGTAGAAGCTAACTACACGTTGCATACGGGCAGCATCTTTGGCAGCTCCGAGTCCCTAGCCCGTCGTTAGACATGATATTTGTGCGGCTAGTATTTCGGGGGTTGTGGTGGACGATGGAGAGCCCCAGAGACAGGGAAACAAAGACGTTGGCGGATAGATATGACTTACAGATGGAGAGGCCAACCTAGTCTCGAGTTAGTTTGGTTTATAAGTGAGAAGTGTGGAGGGGTATAGAGGACATACCTTGGGGGGGATGAGGGTGGAAAGAGCTCTGCGTGTAAACGAAACTCATCTTGGAGACTACCACAAAAAATCAGCCCAATTGATCTTTGCGCAATAAGCAATGTCATTAATTATATGCTCTGCAATAACACATACCTTTTCTGACGTCGTGATGAAATCTGGGAACGGTGAATTGATGTTGTCTTCAACCTTCCCTCAAATCTCGTTCCGAAAGCCTCCACTAGTGCGCTTATGTAAGCACATCCCGGAGCCTCAAGGAACCTCGAAATCAAACATCCAATAATCTTCCCCTCAATTGCGACTTACTATACACAATATGTCACTCCTTCGTCCTTCAATCGCAGGGCGATTACTGCGCGCTGCAGGTCCTACTGGGCTGCGCTCCATACCAAATGGAGTGAGATGCGAATCTGGTGTCCCGCTCACACCTACGAACATGCCAAACCCTAAACGTAAAGAAGGAGAATCATCGATGATCAACCACCCACAATCAAAGGATACACTGGTTAAGCATAACCAACCAGATTATGGAGTGGAGGTTGACCAAGCTGCTTCGTGAGTTTTTCCATGGGGAAGGAACAGGAAATTGTGTTTTGGAAGGAAGGACAGTTACTGATGGGAAACTGGCAGATTATTCACACCAATCCCAAAGCGTGTTATGAATGGTAGCGAAGAGGGTGATGTTTTGCCAGCTGCAGTCTTATCTGGTGCCCCTATCGAGTTGCAAGCTCGAACAGTTCGGTATGTTCGCCATCAACATCAAGCCTTACATAACATAACGATCATACCAATGTCTAAACCCCCGAGTAAATAACTAATACAAACTTATCTAGCATCTATCGACCTGCTAAAACCGCCACACAATCCGGTGATTGGCATGGTCACCACTGGCGTATGGACTGGGATATTTTGTCCAAGGGCCACCGTTGGGAAAATCCTCTTATGGGTTGGCAATCATCGGCCGATTTCATGCAAGGCACACATGTAAACTTCAAAACCAAAGAGGATGCGATTAGGTTTGCAGAGAAGCAGGGTTATGAGTATTTCGTTCAAGAGCCAAATGTTAGGAAGGTTGCGCCAAAGGCATATGCAAACAACTTCTTATGGAGTGATAAGAAGTTGAAGCATATCAGGACAAAGTAGAGGATGCAAGGCGAGATTAAACGAGAAAATTTGGGCCTGGAGGGAAGGAGACTGTACATATCTGGATGAGCGAGGCAGACATGTTTAGCTGCTTGAATTGAAGATGCATTTATGATTGAATTCTTATTCATTCAGCGAAAAGTGGTGAGAAGCATTGGGATTCTCCTCACTCTGTCGAAATAGCGACTACGAGGAACATAGACTGGCTACAGCGCATACTTTGATGCAAATAAATGAGTGGTGTAAAGTTGCCAGCCAGGTCTTTTGTTTAGTCCTACTGTTTCTGGAGCTTGATGTCCTTGATGTCGCGCGTTATCCCGCAGTTCTTTACCACAGACATCATTTCTCAATACATTGCATTCTTTCAGGACTTCTTCTATACTCGTACATAAATTCTTCCTCTCCACTACTAGAAATTATCAAGAATGAAGTGAATCAAGAAGCCCTTTTCACCTGATCAACATGGTTCTTCTTAGTTCGCACTCCCTAGAAGATACCCATTTTTCGTTACCAAAGCCAGACTAGAAGAGGGGTAAAGAGAGTTCTATTACTTCATGGGAATAAGTTTTGTTGCATATCGCATTTCCCAAGCTAGGCCCCCTTTAACACCAAGTTCAGACTCGCAAAATTATCTGCAAAGCTCCAAACGATATACTCGTCAATGGAAAACGTAAAACAAATTTATAATATAAAACCTACAAGTATGTAACACCCGGTTCATGTGTAATAGATTTCAAACACAGAATAGATGATTGATCCTTCTTCAATATGGAAACAGAGTTTTCTCAAGCGAGGACAACGTCTGTCTTGTTGCATATCGCACTTTGAAATGAGACCCGATTTTCGAATCCATATAGAAAATTCTACTGACGTTCAGTCCTCTTAACAATTACATATATGGTATGGGCAAAAGCAAAATTACACCATTCTATATCAATCAAACCGTCATATTGAGTATGGTCTTCACAATTTATGTTCAAAGTGAAACATTGCGGTTTGGGCAGATGTGAAATAAAGTTTTCATTGAAAAGGTTAAAAGAACGCCAGCTACATTGGAATAGTTTTGTTGCACGTCGCACCTTGTAAAGTGACTGCTTTTTCAGATTCATATATCATCACTCCAAGGCAATCTGACAATCCCAAAATCCTATAGGTTGATTAACCATAAGCAAAATTAGGATTCTAATCTAAAAATCATCACGAACAGATGAGCAAGAAAGTAGATAGTCGTCCTTGAAGACAAATGATAGAAATTTCGGGTCATCAAATGAAGCCAAAAAGTGAAGAACCTTAATGAGCGCTAGTGATATCAGAAATTAGTTTGTTGCATATCGCAAATTTTCATAAATATCGTTCTCGGTAGTGCATTTCATATTCCCACGGTTCAAGTCAATGCTGAATATGCTGTACTCTCTTAGAAACAGTATCATGGTTCAGTCAAGTTTTGAGAATATAACAATGAGTAATGAATTTATGATAGGATCTTTTGTCCTCGAACGTGAAGATCGAGCAGAAGAAATGAAATTGCAGGCCTGATGCATGAGAATGGGTCCCAGTGATTCGAAAAGGGTGAACGTTGACTGGGTAGATTGTGCAAACATATCTGATATTTATGCGTTCGGGGTTGTCAACGTGGTGTGTCTGGATGATTATTGTCGCTATGATGTAACTTGAGGAAGGTATGGCCGTCGTCTCTATAGTGTCTTGAATGAGGTAGGTAAATCATCTAAACATTAGCCGCATTTGTCGCACCTTCCAAGTTTTGAATATTATACTGTGCAGTGAGATACAGCATCAAGCATCTATGATAATCTCCCAACTGTACCGGATCGTCCAAAACAACTCGATTGCCACCTGCTATTCAAAATTGACATATTAATAACGCCAGAAATCTTGATGCAATCAAAAAGTAGTCTAAATTTTTAGGATTCGAACATTCGATTTTTTGCCTCTTTTAACATGAGCCATCTTTGTCAAAGTAACTAGTTTCATGTTTTGTCATTTAGTCTATGATATCTTCACGACTTGTACAGTCAATATTGAAGTTAATTCTTGCATCAGCAGAAAATACTGACATGGAAAGATCTTTCTAATTCTCAAAAATTGTAAATAGTATCGTTCACGGAGAGGGTGTTGTTGAAAGATGACATTTTCGACAGCCCCGCATTCGATCCCCCGCTCACAAATCCTAATTTCTTCCACCGCGTCAATATCCGGGATATACGTCCCACCTTGACCATTGGATGTTTTCATTGTTTAACCCGGTTTCCAAAAAGGTGCAGCTGTTCAAACTCAAATTAACCACTATTGAAGTCCATGCTAGAAGGGAGTCTTGGGCAGTGAGATATTTTGTAAGCTGGCTGTAGAAGTGTGGCCTCAATTCATCGTCAAATTTTTATACATTGGCGAGAAGAAGGAAAAGAGAACTAGTGGTATTAACAGCTCTGTGGCAAATCAATAAGCAACCAGTGAAGGCAGCAAAGATCATGTGTCATTCTTGCGAATTGGTGTTGGTCTAAAAGCATATTTGGGACAGAAACATTCGTGTACAATAGTAATTCTGATTCACATACAAGTTCCGGGCTTGGATGTAAGAAAATGCTCGAATTCATCGAAGGTCGTTGCAAATATGTCGTGAGTGGAATGGACAGACGGCACAGTTATTTAGTGAACATGGTGCACGAACTGATATTAAGTTTTTGGCGAAATCTCATCAATGCTAGTAGGAATTGGTATGTGTTGTACCGGATTTCGAAGATTGTCCATCCATTTCCCATAGCCATCCCTGAAATTGTAGCCTTCAAAACTTATAACAATTTTGTGCGCAGTGACTCTGTGGTGGAATGTAAGATTACATTTGGTACCAAACTTGGAATGAGACGAGGAGATCAGCGTTGCATCCTCCTTATTTTCGATGCGATCAAGCGTCAACTCAAGCCACTGACATAAAAGTCTTCAAACAAGACTTCGCATCCATTCATGTTGACGTGAAGGATCGAATTTATTTCCTGCTTGCGGAACAAGCAAGACTTGGGAGTATGCTAGCTGTGGTGTAACATCATTCCTTTCGAAATTCGTACGATGAACGTGGATTTCGGACGTGCTTGGAATTTTTTCATGCAAATGTAGACGTTCCTGAACTTCTCCCTTCAGTTTTTAGTGTCATTGAATAGGCACTACCTAATCGTTTGAGATACCGCTTTCACTAGATCGGTACTACACTATGCTTCCAACTCAATTCTGTTTCCTGAAACTTCCAAGTAGCGAGATGAAGATTTGACCTTGCAGAAAGTAATTATTTTTAGACGTCCCATCTTGTGTTACCTACGGCTCCTGGATGACTTAGGAACTTTCCTGTAATACAATTAATTCATACTTTCTATACCCGTGAGTATTCAAAAAGAAGACCATCAAGGTATACTCATGTGAATTCACTAGATTTGTTACATAATACATAGTAATTGACAGTGGAAGGAAGTGGAGTTTGAGGCTCTCTGAGATTGGCGCTTGTTTCACTAGCGAGATAAGTTTAAGCGCGCCCTCGGCGTCTTATTGATTACTGAATCTCGAAAGTTTATCGACAAGCAGCAATACCTACCTTGCCATCTTCGAAATGGACGACCTCGAATCTCTCGAAATCCTTTCTTTGGTCCAGAGAGTGGCCTCTGAATTGCATAATCATCTTGGAATAAGTGATAAAACCCTCGCCGAATTCGTTATTGCGCAACGTACAGAATGCAGTTCTCTCGAAGAATTCCAGAAGAAGCTCGAGGCAATTGGCGGAGATTTCCCTCAAAGTTTAGTCGAGAGTGTAGATCGCCTGGTTTTGACGATGCATCCAAAGTTCAAAGGTGGCAAAGGTAGAAATGGCGCATCGGCTGAAAATGGGAATTTCAAAGTCGAAGAGAAAACGAAGGTCTTTAAAGGTCTGGCATTACCTGACAAGAAACCGGCATGGCAAGACGAAGACGAATCCTCAAACGGTCACGCGATGAATGGAACTGATGCGATCGACGATACCCTTGCATTATTAGAAGGTCTGGCACCCAAGGCGCAACCTGTCGATGATACCCTGGCATTATTAGAAGGATTGGCACCCAAATCGCAACCGGTGAAACTTGAGAGAGAAAATAGAAAACGAAGCAGGAGTCCAGATCAAGATTACGATAGAGGACGAAGTCGCAGGGATAGGCGTAGATCTAGATCACGGTCCGGAGATGAATCAAGGAGGCGTCGAAAGCACGAATACGAAGAAGACGAATTTGGGAGGACGCGAAAGAGTCACAAAAGTAGCCGGAGGAAAAGAGAAGATGATGATTACAAACGACCACGTACCCCTGAAATTGACGATGAAGTTGTTTTACAGAAGATTTATGACGGTCATGTCACTAGTGTTAAGGATTTCGGTGCTTTCGTTAATATACACAGTGTGAAGGGAAAGGTTGATGGACTTGTGCATGTTTCGGCATTAGTGGAAGGGCAACGAGTAAATCACCCATCGGATCTAGTCTCACGAAATCAACCCGTCAAGGTCAAAGTCATTAAAGTGGAGGGTAACAGAATCGGACTTTCAATGAAGGAGGTTGACCAAGAAACTGGGATGGATTTAGCTCCCCAAGAGAAGTTTCATTCTGGGGCTAATAGTGCTCCTCTTGGTAGCAAGAATGAATATGGTTTAATCGACGAGCCTGTGCCGGTATTCGAAGGGCAAATGTCGCGAAATTCGAGGAAGAACAAGAAGAGAATGACATCTCCTGAAAGATGGGAGATTCGTCAACTGATCGCATCCGGCGTGGTAAAAGCATCGGATTACCCAGATCTAGACGAAGACTATAATGCGACACTGAACGGTGAAGGGGAAATGGAGCTCGAAGAAGATGTTGATATTGAGATTCGGGAAGAAGAGCCTCCTTTCTTGACTGGGCAAACGAAGCAGTCTTTGGAGTTGTCTCCAATCAGAGTCGTAAAGGCTCCTGATGGCTCACTTAATCGCGCTGCTATGGCAGGCACGACTCTAGCTAAAGACCGTAGGGAATTGAAACAACAGGAAGCTCAAGACAAAGCTACGGAAGATGGAACAAAGGTTGATCTTTCTGCACAATGGAATGATCCGATGGCGAATCCAGACCAGAGGCAGTTTGCTAGTGATCTTAGAACTGCAAAACAACAAGCACCCAATAGTGAAGTCGTACCTGCTTGGAAGAAGGCTACTCAAAATAAGAATGAACCTCTAGGTCGCCGCACGGATATGTCCATCAAAGATCAAAGAGAGTCGCTTCCAGTATTCAGGTTCCGCTCCGAGTTAATCAAGGCTGTTCATGAGAATCAACTTTTGATCGTGGTTGGTGATACTGGTTCAGGAAAGACGACACAATTAACCCAATATTTAGCGGAGGCTGGCTTTGCTAATAATGGCATAATTGGTTGCACCCAACCTCGTCGTGTTGCTGCTATGTCTGTTGCAAAGCGTGTCTCGGAAGAAGTTGGCTGTGAGCTTGGTCAAGAGGTTGGATACACCATTCGATTTGAAGATTGTACTAGCCCAGCCACGAAGATCAAGTACATGACAGACGGAATGTTACAGAGAGAAGTATTGATGGATCCTGATTTAAAGCGATATTCGGTTATTATGCTGGACGAAGCTCACGAACGTACCATCTCTACAGATGTTCTCTTTGCATTACTGAAGAAAACTATCAAACGTCGACCAGATCTGAAAATCATCATCACATCTGCGACTCTTGATGCTGACAAATTTTCGTCATACTTTAATGAGTGTCCCATTTTCTCTATTCCTGGTCGAACTTTCCCTGTAGAGGTCATGTACTCAAGGGAGCCCGAATCTGATTATCTTGATGCTGCTCTGGTCACGGTTATGCAAATTCATTTGACAGAACCTCCTGGAGATATTTTACTCTTCTTGACTGGTAGTGAGGAAATTGACACGTCTTGTGAAATTCTTTACGAGCGTATGAAAGCACTTGGACCTAGTGTTCCGGAATTGATTATCCTTCCTGTCTATGCCTCGCTTCCCACAGAGTTGCAGAGTAAGATCTTTGACCCCGCACCCCCTGGAGCTCGAAAAGTGGTTATTGCCACCAACATCGCCGAAACTTCTATTACAATCGATCATATTTATTACGTTATCGATCCTGGATTTGTCAAGCAGAATGCGTACGATCCAAAACTCGGTATGGACTCGTTGATAGTTACCCCAATTTCCCAAGCACAGGCCAAACAGCGTGCAGGACGTGCTGGAAGAACAGGCCCAGGAAAATGTTTCCGTCTTTACACAGAAGCAGCTTTCCAATCCGAGATGTTACCTACTAGTATACCGGAAATTCAGAGACAAAACTTATCCACGACTATTTTGATGTTGAAGGCTATGGGCATCAATGATTTGCTTCATTTCGACTTTATGGATCCACCTCCAACAAATACTATGTTGACAGCTCTGGAAGAATTATATGCCCTTTCGGCATTGGACGACGAAGGACTTCTTACTCGTTTGGGTCGTAAGATGGCAGATTTCCCCATGGAACCATCTCTTTCAAAAGTTCTTATTGCAGCTGTTGACCTCGGTTGCTCTGATGAATTGCTCAGTATTGTTGCTATGATTTCTATTCCGACCATCTTTTATCGACCCAAGGAAAAACAAGCACAGGCCGATCAGAAGAAGGCCAAATTTCACGATCCTCATGGTGATCATCTCACCCTTTTGAATGTTTACAACAGTTGGAAGCAGAATAAATTTGCAAGTCCGTGGTGTTTTGAAAACTTCATTCAAGCACGAAGTATGAAGCGCGCAAAAGATGTTCGCGATCAATTACTGAAAATTATGGAACGATACAAGCATCCTATTGTATCTTGTGGTCGTAACACAGATAAAGTTCGACAAGCACTGTGCTCTGGATTCTTCCGAAATTCTGCTCGAAAGGATCCTCAGGAAGGATACAAAACATTAATCGAAAGCACGCCTGTATACTTACATCCTTCGTCAGCTCTTTTCGGTAAACAAGCCGAATGGGTCATTTATCATACCCTTGTAATGACGACGAAAGAATACATGCATTGCACAACAACTATTGATCCTAAGTGGTTGGTGAGTGCGGCACCAAGTTTCTTCAAAGTGGCGGATGCAGGGAAATTGTCAAAGAGAAAGAAGGCAGAGAGGATTCAACCTCTTCATAATAAATTTGCGGCAGAAGATGATTGGAGATTGAGTGCGCAAAAGAGGCAGGGTAGGAGCGGTGGAGGTGGAACTTGGGGCTAGGGACAGGGTTTATCTATTGATTGTACAATATGAAGACTTATGGGGTTTTACTAGCTTAGATGGAAATGCAGTGATATAATGAAATAATCTTGATACCTCCAGGGGACATTTTATGATGTCGTGTTTGAGCTCTGAAAGACGATTGATATATTTACTGCACATTATCTGTAGGAGAAACAAGTGCTTGATGAAATACCCCTTGGTTTGCAAGTCTCCTCTTGGTCTTCATTCATTATGACGTCTGCAAGAGTGTTTATGGAAAGCCGAACTTAGATTTGTATTGGCAGCAAGTTTATTTAAGACACATCTAGTGTCGAAGATGAGGACTTAAAAAGGAGAAATCTATCAAAGAAATTTGTTGGATGGGCAGCATGGAGAAGAAGAAAAAGGAAATGAAAGAAATGAAGGAGAAGTGCTCTACTTAAGAATTCCTAGTCCTAAGCTAGTCGAAGGCTCTGACCCTGAAAGATGGTGATATCGCAGGTTTCGCCAAATGAAGAAGTCGTATTCTGCGATCCTTCCAAATAGCACCTCGATCTAAGTACTAAAAGTCATGCGATTGATCATACGATGAAAAATAAGAGGTTTCCATCTAGTGGTTGGAATCTGAATGCGAATTAAACCTTTATGTCTTCTAGGTATTACCAGTAAGGTCGGCCGGATTGGTCACATCTTAACTTTCCAAAAAATTGTTTGGGGAAAGCAGTACCTTAGCTTCATTCGAAGAACCGCCGACGACGATAATGCCTTAACCCTTGGGACAGTAAGTCATACCTCGATCTTTAACATTGCTGAATATATTAATCATCTATGTAATGTGAGTGATTCTTGAATATCTTAACTACAGCAAGATTTACTACTTAGGAAACCGTTCAAAGATCGTTTTGGGCCTGAGAATGCGCCTTCCCCAGCTTCACTTGAAGGAGAATGAGCTTGAAGATGAAAATGAGGTTGGATAAGGACCATATTGAACTATCGTACTTACCACTCGTAGTATACTCGATTGTGTGTCGCAGCACTCGTCCCAGATCCTATGTTCACAAGGCAAGGTTGGTATAGAGCTGAATCATTCCACTGCATCCTGATCTAGGATGGGTAGAGCTCCGACCAAAGCAGAGTCTGAACGCACGTCTGAAAGGAACTCAGTAAGTTGCCCAAGAGACGAAATGGCGGAAATCCACTGGAGCTCGTAGCAAAACTTTGGGTCTGGTTGGTATGTCTGCTGAGGTCAATCATTGAGACATCTACCAAATTTTAAACAAAAAATAAATGGCCATTCAAATTAACATAAAATTGCCGACATTTCATGCAAATGAACCGTTTCCAACTATTTTCATTTTAACCATAGCCATATACGGTGTATCTTAAACTCAAATTGTCATACAACCATACATCACTACATTTTCTCTCCACCACTTTCCGACTTAAATTGCACCGCTCCTTCCAATGCTGGTACCCATGGATGTCTATCCTTCACGAAACTTTCCCATTCTGGCGTCATGACTTTCTCGAAGATTCCCATCTTCAAAATGGTCTTACCAGGATATGCTTCGGCGATTGATTGAATTGGACTGTGGATCTTGTTAACGATTTCACGCAACTTCAAGGAATAAATATCAGGAGACGTGAATTGGAAAATGATATGGTAAACCTACTTTCCACATGTTTTACAAAAGTGCCTCCTAACACATTTTCCGCTCGAGGTATCATAGTCTTCATATACATTCATATTTTCCGCCCCTTTAATCGTCACTTTTTCACTCTCGATTGCCAGGTTACTCCCAAATGCTAGTCTCATTGTTAATCGCTTTCTCATTAGTTGAGATAGTTCCACATACCCGATGAGGCTGTCTTTCTACAATTCAGACAATGACATAAATGGCCTCTTGGACGTGAGAAGAGTTCCGAGTCATTGATTGTTACGGTGATGGCGCCGCAGAGACATTTACCTTCCATCTTGTCAAGGATAGCTTCTGGGACGTTATAAATGAGATTCGGATAATGTAGGGGCTTGAGATGTGGTTGAGATTAGAGGAATAGGGGAGAGTATGTAATTCTGTCAATAATATTGGGATAACAATTGAACTGGTTTATAAATACCTAGGTATGTGCTGTACATGTGTTTTTTACAGTAAATATGTGCGGAATGAGGGCGGAATAGTGTGCGGGGCAAGCGGGGTATCGTCAACGTGTAACCGTTTCGAGTGTGGGGTGATAGGGATTTTCGGGATAGGGATTTTCGGGATAGAGACAACCTGAAAGTATTCTAGAGTTCGGAGATAGTGTTGAAATGAGAATTCTTATTAGAGATGTCTTTACTCTTTATCATTATCACCGATTTTTGTTATCGAATACGAAGCTGTATCGTGAGCCCTGGGGTAGATTGGTTACAAAGTGACGCACCATATAACGATAATGACAAAGCGATAGGCCTCGATTGTAGGATACGGCAAGTATTTCAATAGTCCCGAGTAAACAGGAATGTTTTGAACCAGACAAAAATTAACCGATTTCCCTACTACGTGCACGTCCCTGCTATATGCACGATCTCGATCACCCTTTTTGAATAACTTTAAAAATTAATAACAATTCCAATTTATAAGATAAAGAGCTAGCAATTTAATTGATAAATGATAAGATACAATACTATCTAAAAACATAATAAAATCTTCAGATTTTGAATTTCGATGGAACTCGTAGTGCTCGCCCTCTACTAGATTGCAATATAACCTCCTCCTCCTTCCCCTTCAAATTATTAGTCTTTATAGCATCAGAGAATTCTATAATCTTTGTTAATGTTAGATTTATAGTAAAAAAAGCTTTGGGAAACTTTTTATTTCTTTTGATTAAAGATTTTATTGATTTTAGAATCTTTTTAACCTCCTCTTTCGTATTACATACAATCTGATAATCAACCTCCTTTTGCAATACCCTTTTTTTTGTCTTAATCTCTTTCTATTCCTTTTCAGCTTTCTTTTTAGCTTTTATCTAAAGCTTAGCTTCTTTCTCTTACTTCTCTTTAAATACTTTATCTTCTTGATATACTCTAGCTTTAATAATAGCAGAAGATAACCATAAAAACACACCATTCCCTTCCTCTCCAATGAGATTTAAACACTTTGAACAAGCTCTTTTCCTTTTTTCAAGCTTTAGAGTCTCTTTTAAACCTTTAGATCTATGCCCCTATATAGAAGCTTCAGCTCCTAATATAGTTGTAGCCTTAAAAAGCTTTAAAGTAATCTTATAAATAAAAATACAACGAAATTCTAATTTCATTCTACATATCGCTTTTGATATATACAGTGTAACAAAAATATCCCTATGAGTTTTAAATGATGTAAATAGCGTAAAAGGAGCTTTCAGAGCAATACAGTCGATCATAAAACTCCTATTCATAGAATATATACCCGTTTTTTCAAAGGATTATAAGATATTATACTTCATACAAGTAAGCTCCCAAGCCTTTTTAAATATACCTCAAAACATATACTTTATCATATCAACAATCCCCTCGCTATTATACATCAAATCATTCAATAATGTACTATAATTTGTTAAAAGAATACCGAAGATTTCAACATCGAGAGGCTATAATCGATATATAAAATGAGGGAGAAGAATTAAAATAATAATCTTTAATTTATTATATTTTGAAAGGAATTCTATATTAATATAATTAGAATAACCATTAACAATAAGTAGACGATATCTTCCATCTGCTTTTCGATATATAGTAGGGTTGAATATGTTTATAAGCCAATATAGGCCAAAAGCATTCGACGACCACCTATTACTTGAGGCTCTAAAATAGGCTTTATCCTTTTCTTCTACATCCTGAACCCATATATTTTGTAGATCCTTTGAGTCTCCTTTATAAATAAGAACGGAAGGGAGAGCTATCCCATCAGTACATATAGCTGCTAATAGGGTAATAAACTCTCTTAATCCATCTTGCTTAGCTTTTGTCACTCTGCTTTTATTATAGGCGCTAGCACTTATTATCCTCTTTATAATCCTCCTTATATTGATTATAAAGCCCTTCTCATTTCAATTATATATATCTCTTGGCTGTATATTGTATTTTATAATTACTTTTATTAATTAAATTAAAAAAAGAGGGGTATTAGTAAAAGTATTTTAAGTAATAAAAATCAATAACAATAGAAAATAGCTCAAATCAGATTATAAAAGTAATCAAATATAGTAATATTATTAATTTTTATATATAAATTATTAATGTAATGGAGATATCAACTTTTAAAATGTGTTGAATGCTTTTTGACAAAATTGTTAGTCTAATTCTTTCCCATCTCTTTATCTAGGATTTTTTCTGCAAGGTTTCTGATTATATGGCTTATAGGAGGGATAGATCTTTATATCAGCTTGTTGATTTGATCAACTAAAATCTTCTTCTGATTGTTAGAAAGTGTTTGTTTCGTATCGGAAAGGAATTGTTTTTTCGAGATGGTTTTATCTCTATATCATCGGGAGAGTATGAATCAATCAATTTTAAAGAAATTAGTTGTCTAGATATATTTAGGAGCTTGAACCCTTTTCAAATGATCTAATACAAGTTTTATACAAGCCTCTAAAGGTATATCATTGATGTTTGAAGTCATAATGTTGATATTTTCAAAGTCGTGCACGTAGTAGGGACGTGCACATAGTGGGGAAATCGGTTACCCGAGAGGGTCAAGGGGGGGATGATCGGTCGCGAATTTGGGTCATCACTTTCCATTTTACCATCAGTAATACATAACTTTGTATCTACAGATTGAATTCGTTACTTTCATTAATTTGGTCTTCCGTTAAATTTATATATACATGTGAAAGAAGTCAGACGACGACTTGTATTAGTCGTCCACCGACCACGAGATACTCAGACATTTAACAATAAGACCCGTTGATTGTGGGTGTAATAGCACCTTGATCAAATAAGACCTCCCATGACCAGTAGTCAGAAGTTATACCCTCTCCATCAACAGCAGCAGTGTTGTTAACCATCTTGATGTTCCAAAATGCGCTACCGGAAACATACTTCTGGTAAGCATAAACTTGAGTATCGTGTATAACCTTACGTCCAGCTAGGGTGTTGTTATAAAGAGTCTGAAGAGACCATTCGCCGATAAAAACAGGGAATTTGCCATCGCCTGCGGTGTATTGCGCTTGTCCACAGATGGCTGGGGCAACATATTGTGAATATATACCGGCAGCGGCGAAGAAGTAGATGTGGGAATCTATGACGAGATTTGTTCCAGCCGCGTAGAATGGAGACCAGAAAGCTTCTCCCAAGAAGCAGTCTTGCAACATGAGGGGAATTTTTTTGTTGACTTTAGCGATACGGGTCAGGACACCATTGATGTACGTATTAATCCAGTTGGTACCGTTAGCAGTCAATCCTGAAGCCGTGGCAAAGCCACTAAAATTATCTGAAGCTTCATTGATTGGAGCAATGGTGAAGCCTTGTGGTTGACCAGAGCTTTGGATGAAAGACAGAATAGCATCAATGGCCTGGAAGGAGTATTCCAAGTTTGTGGCATTTTGGTACCACCCGCTATGTCCGAAAGCTTCACCGATACCTAAGGAATTAACTCCTCCAGGAAGAGAGTGGAGACCAATAATGACGTGCATTTCATACTTCTGGATAGCATAGAGGGCAACATTTCGGAGATAGGTTTGTTGATTACCATGGTACAATTTGGAACCAGGGAATTTGATACAAGCTGCGTATGTAGTAGGAATGCGGAGCGTATTGATATTTGGAGCAGCGAGCTTGTCGATGTCGGCGGTGGTAATCCATGAAGCATAACGAGCCTCGAGAACTGGGCCACACTTATCACCTAAAGTCTCACAGAACCCCCATTCATCAATAGCATCAGGTGCATAAGCATTCCACCAGTCAGGATCGTAGTTTTGTTCTCTAAGGCCACTGTTAGTTTTCTGTGCTTGTAAAAGGGAAAGAAAATGGGATAGTCTTACTGTTCTAACCAAGCACCAAAGTTAACACCATTGGCCTTGTAAGTGGTCCAATCGACGTAGTTGGTCGACTTTTTGGTCCAAGCGATATCATGGAGATATCGCTGGATAGACAGTGCAACCTCAGGACAAGAGATACTGCCATAGTTCCAGACAGAACCGTGCTTTGCGGCATTGGTTTGAAGAGTAGCGTCGAGTTTGGAAACAGCAACTTCGATATCCGATTTGACTGTGCTTACGACAGTAGTAATAATTTTGGCGATACCAGCTTCTAAAGCGAGGATATCACCGAATAAAGAGGGAGTAGGGGCAGCTAGCACCAAAGGAGTAGCAGCCAATATAAGACCTTTAGTGACACGCATTTTGAACGAATGTGATAATTTGGATAAAGAATGGAACGGATACTTAGATACCGAAGTGAATCTGAATGGGAAAGGAACTACCTTTGAGTCTTCAACTTTGTCTTTATCTTTGAAAAGCAAGTACTTACAAATGCAGCTAAGAGATTCTTTAGCTTATAATAATAACTAGCTCACTGAAGTTATTTGGTATGACGGTGACAATCAAGATCTACCATCACCATTTCTGCATTCATCCATGCTAAATTATTCTCCACGCTGGCTGATAGACAGAGAAAAATGAGTTTTCGGCCATTGAACAGGAACGTTCATCTGAAGGCAGTTGGTAATGACAGCCACTGAAGACTATGGAGCCAACTGAACCAGTATATCCTAGTACCAGGTGGCCGCTTAATCAATTCAGGAACGAGTTTGGATAGAGAACGCATTACACGGAATCTTTTACAGTACCACCGCAGGATTCGACTGCATATAGCTAGTTAGTAGTGCCCAAACCATATGGAGTAATCTCTTTTGAAGATTCGCCAATGCTCTCAAGTACCGAAAAAGTGCAACTCATTGCGCTAGATGAATTTCTTCTTTCTTGGCAAAGTAATGCCAATGCACTTCCACTTCACCGTC